CAATTTTCCGACACCTTTGATGGAGAGACGTTTCCCCATGGAGTGTCTCAAAACCTTGTTAGAGCCTCTGGGCCCCCCGGCTGAGGGTACAGTCCTGGACCCCGCCTTGTTCTGGTGGCCTGGAGCCCATCCTCAGGCCGCCGCCACGCTGGCGTGGCTCCCGCACCTCTCTACGGGACTGTCAAAATCTGGAGGTGAGTCTTCCAACTTGGTTCTTTTTCAAAGTGGTTTCAGCCATCCTGGGTCCCTGGAGACTCCACACAAATCCAGAGAGCATTTCTCCATTTCTGTGAACATCACTCTCGGGTGCTGGGAGGGATTGCATTGAATCTCTATACTGTCTTTTTAACAACACTAAGTCTTCAAACTCATGAATATGGGACACCTTTGTATGTATTCGGGTTTCTCTCAGTGACGTGCTGTAGTGATGCTTCTTTCAAAGATGTGTCAGTACACAAATTTTGCGTTTACTTGGTTAAATTTATTCCTAAATGTACTATTCTTTTTGATGTTATTGAAAATGGATTTTTTTCTTCGTTTCCTTTTCTGATTATTCATTGGTAGCGTAAAGAGATACAATGCATTTGTGACTGTGTCCTGCAGCTTTGCTGAACTCGTTTATACGCTCCCACAGTTCAGTGTGCATTGCAGAGTTTTAAAGGTTTTCACATAGAAGATCACATCCTCTGCAAGCCTGTTTTCCAGTGCAGTGCGGGCACCCCTTATTGCTTCCTTGCACCATCGACCTGGTTAGAAGTCCCAGTGCCGGCTGAACAGAGGCAGGAGCAGTGGGCAGGCATCCTTGTCCTTGCCCCCCGCCCCCAACCTCAGGGGAAGAGCTTTCATTCTTTCACTGCAGAGCCTGGTAGCTACTGGCTTTTCATACAAGGCCTTTATGATGTTGTTCTTGGTCGGCCGAGTAGTGTTTTCATCGTGACATGGTGTTTCGTCGAAGGCTTTTTCTGCACCAGGCCAGACGGTCACGTGGGTGCGCCGCACTGACTCTGAGGCGGGGCCGCCGCCGCTGCTCCTCGGGGAAGCCCCAGTGTGCAGTCCTCCCAGGGGGCTGCTGACTTCGGGGGCAAGCGCTGCACAGTGCACTTTTGCATCAACGTTCATAAGAGATACCTCTCTGCTGTGTGCTTTTCCTGTAGTCGTCTTCATGGGGCTTCGGGATCAGGACAACACCAACCTTGTAGAACGAGTCAGGACGTAGTCTCTTGTTAGCTTGAAGCCGCCTGATCTTCAGCTTTTTGGTGGTGGCGTTGGGGTTTTGAATGCTCTTTGAACATCACTTTATAGGTCTACTCATTGCCTGTTTGTTCTGGAGTCAGTTTTCGTACTTTGTTTCTAGGAATGTGCCCATTTCACCGAGGTTGTCCAACTGGCGGGCGTGCAGGTGGGTATTTGCGGTGGTCATTTTAATCCTCCTTATTCCTGGGGAGGTCAGTCGTGTCCTCTTTCATTGTTGGCTTAAAAAGTCTTATTTTTAGAGAGAGGGGGAGAGAAAATGGGAGGGAGAGAAACACTGATGTGCAAGAGAGACATGAGTTGGTTGCCTCTCAGGTGCCCCCAGTCAGAGGCTGAACCCACCGCCCCGGCACATGCCCCGGCCAGTAGGCGCACCAGTAGCCAATCGGTTCCTGGGACAACGCCCAACCGAGACGCGCCAGTAAGGGCCATTGTGGATTTTAGCAACGTGAGTCTTCTCTCTTTTATTCTTAGTCAGTTTAGCTAAAGATTTGTCGATTTTGTTGGTCTTAAAAAGACTTACTGTCTTTGACTTTATAGCTTTTTATTCTCAATTTCATTTACCCCGCTTTAATCTTTATTACTGTCTTTCTCCTGCCAGCGCTGGGTCTGGCTTGCTCCTCTCTCCACTCCCTGAAGGCACACCATCAGATGACTGATCTGATCTATTTTAATGTAGATATTTGCAACTCCAATGCCCCCCAGCACCGATTTCTTGCATCCCATACATTTTGGTATGCCCTCATTTTCTTCTCAAAGTATTTTCTAATTTCCTTTCTGACTTCTTCTTTGATCCATTGGTTGTTTAAGTGTTAATTTCCACGTATTTTTAAAGTTTTCCTGACTGTTCATACCCTAAAACCCAGTTACACCCACCAGCGGTGTCAGCAGAACCGCACCAGCAGCAGCACACACAGGGCCCGCTGCGGCTGCCCCAGCCAAGGCCCCGACCCCCGGAAGGACGGCGGGCTGGGGCGCACGCTCCTGCACGCCGCGCCGCATGAGAGGTGAGCAGGCCGGGCACCGCGGACATCTCCCAAGTACTCGGCCGAAGAAGCCGCCCCTCTGCAAAATACACAAACGAGATGATTCCTCCTATTCAAAAAGAACAAGCAGAATTAAGTCATACTCTATTTGAAGTCCAAGGAGGGATTTCTGTAGAAGTCAGATTAGCAATTACCTTGGGGGAGAAGGCAGAGTGGAGGAGGGAGGAGGAGGGGGCTCCCAGGTGCCGGCAATACTGTTTCTCGTTGCAGCTGGTCGTCTGGGGCGCTGCTCGAAGCTAACGCACAGGCTGCAGTTCTGCGATAACTCAGTGGGCTGTGTGTGTTTGCGCGCCATAGTCACAGTGTGAAAGGTAAGTGAACAATTGTGTTGGCTCTGGGTTGGTGACAGCCTTAAACACTTTAAAAAAGCAAAGGCAAGTATATTCTGGAGGTGCAGCCTTCAGATCAGGTCTCGAAGAATTTTCAGAGAGTACCAGGTCACATGGACTCAAAGTAAGGGGGAAAAGTTCGTAAAACGCACAAGGAAGGACGTCACCACGAGCCAGAGCCGCCAGCAATGAGCACTTCAGAAATGGACCACAGACTCTGGACACTGGACGTAACTTTGCAGGATATAAAATGGAGACATTTCTAACAAAACTGATTAAAATAAAAGGGAAGGTATAAATGAACATTAGTGATAAAAAGATGCTGCAGAAGGTAACTATATTTTATAAAACATATTATGCCAGAAACTTGCAATGAGATAAAATTTATGAGTTCCCAGAAACGTGCAACTTAACAAAATCGAGTTTAACAAATGTGAATAATTGTCAAACATTCTCTAAAAAAATCAAATCAGTATTTTAAAATATTTCCTAAATGAAAACAACAGCTCAGAGGTTTTATTGCTGAGTTGTACCAAACATTCAAGGGACAAACAGTGCAGGTCCGAGTAAGGAAAGAAGACTCCTTAATACCATTGAATGGATGGGCCTCACTTTGAAATCCCACCTTACAGTGTAAGAAAATGATGTCAATATCACTCATAAACACAGCTTTTTAAAAAACCCTAAACCAGGTATTAGCAAAACAAAATGATCAATTTACAGACAGACAAAATATCACGAACAAGCTAGATGTATCCAAGAAATGCAAGGCTGCTATATAATGCAGAAAAAATTAATCAAATAATGTAACACTATATTAACTAATTAAAGGGGAGAAATCCTCTAATGTCTCAAGAGAAGTAGAAAAAGAACTTACAGGGTCAGACATCCATTTGCAACGAAAGAGAAACAACATGACAAATCCCTAGGAAGAAAAGGAAGCTCCTGGGGCCCGACCAGTATCTAACAGGAGCCGACAGTAAACCTGTTCCCGGTGAAAATGCTGAAACACAGCTGCCCACGCTGCTTTGCGTATTCATGTCTTGGAGGCATCAGTAGGAGAAAGGGCCAAGGACGAGAGAAGAAAGCTGGCTCGCTGCCAGCTGCGTGGCTGGGAGCACAGGGAGGCCAACAGAACCGCGTCCTTCCGCTTCTGGAGTCGAGCTCGTTCTGTTGCCGATAGCACCTGCTGCAGAGCAAGGCCTCAGGTGCCCCCTGAAGGACCCAGGTTCTTACTAGAATGAGAACTGGGCACGAGCATTGCACACTCAATATGCAAAAGCCAACTGTAAAAAAAATTGTTTTGACTGATTTTAGAGAGAGGAAGGGGGAGAGAAGCATCCAATTGTTCCACTTGTTGACGCCTCCACAGGCCGATCTCTGCACAAGCCCTCACCAGGGACAGACCCGCGACCTGGGTGCGTGGTGGCGACACACCCGCCAACTGAACCTCCCCACCAGGGCAAACGCCAGCTTTCTTTACAGCAACAACACACACATTAGTTAAGCAAGACACCACTTGTAAGTTAAAAAGGCACCTAGAAAACTCCTTCCCCACCAGCCCTGCGGGCCCCGGCCAGGGCCGCCCCGTGGATCTGCACCTCCCAGCCTCATGGGCTCATCCCGCTGGGCTTGCCAAGGTCAGAGGCCTCCCCTGGCTCCTGGCTTTAGGACCAGGGTTAAGGGTCCTGCTGGCTCTGGGTGTCCACCAGGAAGTGTCTAGTCTATTTGGGCCTCTTCCTGGGAGGCCCGCAGGACCAGCTGTGCTGCAGGGAGGTCCCCTAGCACCTGTCACTGGACCAGGACCTGCTGTCACGGAGAGCCAGGGCCACCACCAGGAGCACGTCGAACGCTCCCCGACCGTTGAGCTGCATTTGGTCTCTGACCACCTCCGACAGGAGTCCCAGGCCCCCAGTAGGTGGCCACTCCCAGCTCTGGGCACCACTTGGTGGGCTCAGGCAAAGGGTAAGTCTGCCCTCACTGAGAACCTGGCCCGTCTCAGCCTTGCTGGCGCCAGCCGCCTGGGCCGCTGCTCAGCACACCATGCACGCCTGGGGACCACACCCCCGTGGAGGGGAAACCCACGCGTCTGGGGGCCGGAATGGTGCGCGCTGCACCGCACGGGTCCAATCAGGCAGCCAGCCCTGACCCCGCTTCCCAGGCTGAAGCGCCTGCTTGATTAGGGAGCCCAGGGCTGGGCTGTGGTTCTGTCCACGGAACACCCAGGAACGGCCTGCTGGCTTCTGGGTGGGCAGCCAGACGAGCAGCTTCCCCGCACACACACGCGGCAAACAGCAATCACACCCCTTGGGCAAGAGGGGATGAGGAGTGATCCCGAACAGCAAATGAATGCACAGAAAAAGCTATGGTTCAAATTACTGGTTTTATTTTCATCTGTAACACTAGCAGAGGGTCCACAACAGACTGACGTCATGGACAGAGTTTAAACGTAACAAAGAAAGAGTTGGAATATGTACACTGAGGGGGAGGAGGGTTTTTCATTTCAGCCTTTCCTATTTTGCAGTTTCTGAATAGGAGAAACCACACATCTTTCCCCCAATTTAATATAGTATGAAGAAATACAACTTTCATGATAAATCATTTGTCCTTAAACATAAAATAAGAGATTTTGGCTGCGTGGTCATCCTGGCTCCTGAAGTCTGGGTATTGTTAGAATATAACAAAAGAGCGTTCCCACGAAGCCCAGGAGGAAGGTGGTCAGTGGGAGGGCGGGCGCCCGGCATGGAGCTGGCGACACCCAGACCCTGCCCCCACTCCTCCCACTCCAGCTCCCAGGACGTGAGCCGAACAGCTACAAAGTCAGAACGAAGAGCCAACCTTTCACAGAAGGGGACACTCCTCCAGCCCCGTCTAAAGTGAACTGTGCCCATCCCTGCTCCTGCAGCGGGAGACTGAAGGCCCGTTATTGCTGCAGAGCCAGAGGGCCCTCCCCCGTGAAGGTGCTTCGCGCGCAAAGGCTGCTGTTTGGCTTGAGGCCTGAGGGGGTGCGGAGGTGGAGGCAGGCTGGCACCATGAGCCCCCCCAGTCACCCCGAATCCCTGCGGGGGGGGCGGTGCAGCCACCTGGAGGAGCCAAGGCTCTTGCACACCTGCGGAGGGGGCTGGCTGGGCCCCCCGGGGAAGGAGGCCTCTGACCTCTGCCCGTCAGAACCCACGGAGCAGTCAGTGCCCGAAGGCCAGAAGAGTGGACTCCGGGCTGCCTGCGGCGGGCGAGGGGCCGAGGCCAGCCCAGCCGGTCACGCGGGCCAGGGTCCCGGACACAGGGGCGCTGTAACGGGCGACAGCGTGGACGCGGGCTGATAAGGCCACAAATACTGCCACTGCCTTCCAGCGTCCGTGCGTGCGGGGCCGCGGGAACTGAGGACCAGAGGGCACCTGGCCAACCCAGGGCAGGTTCCGTCAGAGCGCACACCAGACGGCAGGCCGGGCCCGTCGGCCTCGCGCGGCCCATGCCAGTGACGGGCTCTCGGCCTGGTCAGTTCCTGAGAACGGGCGGCGGCAGGGCAGGGCGGGGCAGGCACTGGCCGCGGGCACCGTGGCCCCGAGGGCGCTGGCTGCGCTGCATCTCCCGGGCTGCGGGCAGGAGGCGGACGGGCGTTATTGCACATCTCTTCCTTGGGGGCGGGGGTGGCCCTGCAGGGGCTCCCCCTCTGCAGCGACCCCTGCACGTCACTGCTACGGCGCCGCAGTCACGGTCACCTGGCTCTCGGGAAGGAAGAGCCCCGTGGCCGGTGCCTCCGGGACCGTGCCTGGCTTGGCCACTGCGTCGGGCAGATGCCGGGGACGAGGTAGCGTGCCCGCAAGAGCGGGGTGGGCCAGCTCGCGCTCCGACCGGGGTCAGCTCCTCGAGGGCACTGCCGGGGGAGCAGGGCAATCTGTCCAAACCGGGAAAACGTCTTGGCAAGTGTGCAGGTTCCAGAAAGAGGCTCAAGCCCTGGTTCTCTCCTCCCAGGCCCCTGGGAGCCAAGGCCCCTGGGAGCCGAGAGGCACAGACCCCGCTCCACGGCATCGAGCTGGAGGTAACGAGAGGCTCTCGGAGGGTTGGAAACAAAAAAGCAGTTTACACGTCAGGCGTTGGTTGTGAAATAGTCTTTGTGAGCTCAGGAGACGGGCAGACGCCTCGCGGCAGGCCCGCCGGCTGTCGCTGCCTGCCCCTTCTCCCGGGCAGCTCCCCACGCGTCATATGTAAATAGGGTGGTAGCGCTTGTGGCTCATCTTCTTCCTGCAGGTTGGGCAAGTGTTGGCATTCTTGAGGGAGTCTCGGAGGCACTGGCTGCAGAAGACGTGGCCACACTCCGTGGAAACGATGACTCGTCCGTTCTGCACAATCTAGAGAACAGATACAGCTGCGGCTTCGTGGGGGCTCGTCCTGGAGCAGCTGCCGCCCGAGTCCCCCTGGCACCGTCCCTGTGGTGGCAGCGACTGTCTGAGGGACCCGGCCACCCGAGCCGGCTGGCCTGGCGAGGTCAGGGCTGCCGCGTGGGCACGCCGCAAACCACGCAGCGCACAGGGAGCATCCGCTGGCCCAGGGCGGGGAGCACGGGAGCAGGGGTGGAGGCTGCAGGGCCCCGCAGCTAGCGCACTCTCCCTCCCACAGAGCTGTGACAGGCCATGCGTCAGCCCAGGCGTGACTGCAGAAGTGGCGTCAGTCCCACCTACCAAGAGGGCCTGGCCGATCTGTGTCCCACCGAGCAGGCAGGTCGCCGCTGCGTCTGCTTACCTCTGAGTACCCGTCCATGCAGATGGGACAGCTGATCGTACCGGAGGGCCTGGAACACAGCGCTCCCGTCAGCCCACCGCACACGCACACGCACCGCCCCGCTGCCCCGCGTCGGGGCCCCGCGCAGAGCCAGTCCCCTCCCAGAGCCTCCCCTGAGCCTGCCTTAGCATGGGCTCTCGGAGACTCAAAGGCAGGCCGGCTACGCCATGGGGATCAGCGGGGCAGCGAGGACAGGGGGACACTAGAAGGCACAGACAACCCGAATTGCCGTGTCCGCCCCATCCCAGCCTCATCCCCGAGCACCCCAGCCTACGGGTGCCTGGCAACCCATGGTCGCAGCGGAGAGAGCTGAGCCCTGCTCCGGACCAGCCCCACCTGGACCCAGCCTCTGGGCAGACGCTTCAACAAGCCCCCTCGGGGCCCAGGCTGAGTGCAGGCTCCAGGCCCAGCGCGTCCAACTCCCTGCCCCACCCCACTGGGAAATGGAGGGGAAAGAGGGTCCCCCTCCAAGCACCGAGGAGGTCCCCGGTGGTCCGAGGCTTCCTGGAGCGCTCTCTTGCCCCACCCAGGCCAGCGGCGGCGGGGGGGGGGGCACAGGTACCTGAGCCCTGGAGACGTCTCTTCCCTGGCGTCCCTGGGGGTGTGTGTGGTCACATACACGTCTCTGTCCCTGGGCAGCTCCTCGTCATCGCTGCTCACCACGCAGCTGTCAGCGTGGTCCTGGCGCGGCCGCCTGGCGGTCCTCCGCGGCCGCCTCCTTTCTGAGACGCGAGTCTGAGCTCAGGACAGGGGCCTCCCGGCCCACCACCCGCACCACCGTCCTGCCCGCCCGGGGTAGGCCAGTCCCGGACCCCGCGGAGAGGGCTGCCACGCCCCGCCACCCCAGAAGGTCCTGCCCAGCCCCGGCGGGGGCCCCCCCCGCCTTGCCCGGAGAAGTCCGTCCCTGCGGACGGCAGGCGCCGGAGCCGCGGGCCGGCAGCCCAGCACTCGGAGTGCGTTTCCTCGGGGGGCGCAGGACCGGCCGGCCGGACCCCTGCACCGTCGCGGCGTCCTCCCGCCCAGCCTTCTCGCACCCACCGCACGCCAGCTGGCCGTCCAAACCCGCGCGAAAGGAGACCACTCACCATCAACGATCTTTTAAAGAGAAAAAAAAAGACACAATCAGTTTGATGTAAAATATGCCACATCTTTTGAACACAGTAAATGACAAAGCTGAAGCATGTATTTCAAATGCAAAACCCCCACGGGGGCTGAGGGACCTGCTATCGTGGGACCAGGGCGGCCCCTCCATCCTCGGAGCCGCCAGCGTCCCTGGCTGAGAACGGCGCCCCCAGCGCCGTGGGCACTCAGCACACTGTCGTAAGGACTGAGGGAGACAAGGCCTCAGCCACAGGGCACCAGGGACACGGAGCCCAGGACCAGCTCCTCAGTCGCCAACAAGAATCTGACTCCATGTGGCTTATCGCCAAGGACGGGCCCTGCCTGGGAGGACGGGGTGCCGCGCTAAGACGGGGTTAGAGACGCTTAACCAAACGCAGCAGCAGGCGTGCAGCACCAGCTGCAGGCAGCCCGCACCAGGGCTGAGGTGGGTGCAGTTCTGCGTCAGGAGGTCCCAGGAGGGCTTACCAAGACCTTGGCAAGCCCCTGCCTGTCCACTCAGAGCTCCCGCTAAGTCCCACTCGGCCGTGCTGGTTTCCACCCAGGTCACCGCTCTCTCGAGTTCGTAGCCTATGTCTTTGGGACCCACCGCAGACACGCTCCCAGGGCATCCTGGGCCGGGTCCCTCAAGAAAGCCTGCTGCCCTCTCCTGGGCTGACAGGGGCTGGCAACCCCCACGCTGGGTCAAGGCCAGGATGCTGGGGGTCATTCCCAGAGATCTCCCCTATCGCCAGCCTTCTCACATGAAGTGCCTGCTGCCACGGGTCACACCCGATTCTGCCTCCAACAACCAGAGTGGGCTCGGCACGCCCGCCTGAACCCCGCTGGGCGTCGCTGGCTGTCCCCGGAAGCAGCGGTGTGAAGCCCACACATGGGGCTGCTGAGTGTGACGGTGACACTGGGGGACAGCCAGCCGCACCATCGGGGCCACATTTACTAGGAGCCAAGCGCAGGCAGGCAGCGGCGTCGTCTCCGGGAGGTCTGAAAGGCGAAGAGGGAGGCACGGCTGCAGGCGCGCGGGGACGGGTCCACACGCCGTGCTCAGAGAGCATCCCTAGCAGGGGTGACGGACTGTCCCCGTCTTCAACAGAACAGCTCAGAGACGAGGCAGACGAGAGTGGCGCCCTGGCCTGGCCGACTACGCTGGTTTGCTCACTCTCGTCATCACTGCTCCTCGACCGACGGACGGGGTCTGTCCCTGTCCACAGGTGCTGCGGGCAAGCAGACCCCTTCCACGGTCTCACAAACGAGCGGGCAGCTGGGGCGCAGACACCTGCACAGAGCACAGCTCACCCTCACCGCGGGGCCCAAGGAAATGGGCCAAACGAGGGGTACAGGAAAGCCAAGCCGACCGCCGATCAACATGGTGCTGGACTCCACTGAGGGGACGCAGCCCGGGCCAGTTCTGCTTCCACCATCCTCCCCATCAACAGCCCGGTTTGCTAAGGGGGAACCGGCCTCTTCCCCCACCGCGCCAGGCCGGCCAGCACAGACGTGGGCCCACGGCACAAGCTGGGGACACGGGTCAGAAAGCAGAGGGGGAGACACGTGACAATTCCAAGCAACAGCAGTCTAGTATTTCCTTCAATCTTCCCACTGGAAATAACAAACAAGACATTTTAAAGTAAACAGGTATCAAAAAAATGGTATTGAGTCAAAAATAAAGGGAACACAATAATCCAGACAAAAAAGAAAAAAATAGAGGGGGGAGAAAAAAGCAAAGCACAACAGATTTTTGAAAAAAAATGAAGCAGTCTTCTGAAAGCCTCACACAGAAACCAAAGCCCAGGCAGGAAGCAGGAGGCAAGTGGTCCGACGCAGGCCACCTGGGCGGCCGGGTGCCCAACAATCTCAGCCACTGGGCAGAGGACTGAGGGGCAGGAGGTCGTTTCTGACCAGTGATGCACAGAATGAGCGCGAGAGCGAGAGAGCGAGAGCGAGAGAGAGAATATATCCCCATGCATTCGGAAGTTAAAAAATACAAATTTGATCAACACACTGAATGCAAAACACCAATAACAAAATTCATAGGATGTAAAATAAAATCTTAAATGCGTTTTTCAGAAAAGAAATGATCGAAAGTACTAGGTTAGAAAAATAGCAAACAAAATGCAAACAACAAAAAACAAAACACTGAATGAAAATGAACTTACAAGAGAAAGGATCCGTAAAGCTAAAGGCTGGCTCTCAGGGAGACCACTCCCCAAAGGCAGAGGCCCAGAGGGCAGCGTCAGAGGGGAAGAGGAGACAGCCCGACAGGCCCCAGGGAACGCAGACGCTCTAACCAACACCCATGCCGGGGGAGCGGAAACCCCAGGTGAAACCGACGCACCCCTGAAAACGGCCATTGCCGAAACTCAGCGACCTCTGTTAGGCCCGGCCAGGGCAGAAAGGAAGAAGTAACTCCGACCTGGCAACCCCTTCTGGAAGAACAGGGAACATGGCGGAGCCCGCCTCACTCTAAAACACACCGACACTCTGACACCACCGTTCCATCAGGAACAGAATGCGTACAGAACAAAACTTACAGCCCTGCCGCCTGACTCCTGGTGACAGAGGCAAAAATAATGTGGTACGAAGTATCAGCAAACTGAACCTAGCAACCACAACACTGAACCGACGTAACTCCTCACGCCAACATACGAAAGGGAGGAAATCACCGCTGGGGGGCCCGCACACTGACCTCCCAGATGAAGCCTGCCGTCACACAGGAGACAGGGAGGGATTCCCAGAGAAAGGGTGGGAGCCAAGGAAACAAATCCCTACAGCAGCGGCCTCAGTGCCACTAACGGTGAAACTTGGATCCTTTCAGGTATGGAATGAGCCAAGAATGTCACCATTTTCATTCAGCTAAAACAGAAAAGAAAACGTTTCAAGACCATTTTCCAACAGCAACCTAAAATAACGTACCTAAGAATACATCTTCCAACTAGACTTGCAGAACCACCCCAGGGAACATAATGAAGCCTTCCCGGGAGGCACAAAAGACCCCCATCTCAAGCTGCGCACAAGACTCGGTTCATGTGGACTAGAGGCCTAAGTGGGAAGGGCACAGTAGTAAACCGTCAGATGCAGGAATACAAGATTTTTCTCCAACAAATCAGTAAATCCAACCACGGTAACACTGAAAACCTCTGGTACACAAGCCACAAAGAGGAATGGCGAGCCTCTGAGCACAACGCATAACGCACGGCAGGCTCACGTTTAGAATCCACCGAAGAAGTCCCAGCCGCCAGGACAAGGAAGAAAAGCAAGGGGAAAACGAGTAGGAAAAACCCCCGCTGTTAGAAAGACAATGGGGATGCTTTGTTCTAGTTCAGTTTCCTCGGCTATTTTTTAAGGTTTATATACAATATGTAAGAAAATAATAATAAATAATTCAAAAGGCACTTCACCAAAGAGAAAGTGCCCCACCAGTAAACACGACAGGGCCTTCATTCCCAACAGGAGCCGGCAAACAGGCTGAGACCTCCTCAGGGCACAGCTGGGCACCCACCAGCTGGGCGCGCAGGCAAGGCTCAGAGCGATGGGGACCTCGGCCGCGGCGGGGACACACCCTGGCACAGCCTCTTTTGGAAAACAGGACTTATTCTCCCAAAAAGCAAATGCAGTCACACCCTGGGACCCAGCAGCACCAGACCCTTTTGGGGCGCACAGCGCCCGCTGCAGAAGTCAGAGCAGAGCGTTTTCCCTCCCCCGCCGGTCCCCAGGACATGGGAACACAGCTGGGCCACGTTCCTGCAGCCACCCTGGGACACCACGACAGAGGCTTGTCACCAACGGGGCCAGCCACTGCCCGCCTGCAGGAGGGAGAGCAGTCTGGCAGCAGAGCACCACTCCCCCGGGCCAGCGCCCTGAGCCTCGGAGAAGGGAAGAACTTGGCGCTGTCTGAGGCGCCCGTCAACAAGGGGGCGGCCGGTGTCAGCCGAGGTGCCAGATTCCATAGCCTCTCCAGGACCCAGGGCGTCACAGGGACGAGCAGCCAAGCCACATGCCATGTGGGCCTCAGGACACGGGCCAGGCCCGGACAGGGACCACTTCCAGCCAGCCCACTCCGACTCACAAGTCCCGGCCTGTCTCCAGGACACGGCCACTGCTCTGCAGGGGCCAGCAACCTGAGCCCTCATCCGTGCCATGGGGATGGCCCGACAGCCCGGGAAGGGGCTGCTGTCCTCCTCCACGACGGGCTGGGGACAGGCAGCACGGGCCTGGACGCGCGACGCAGCAGCCGGTGCTTTCAGACCCGGTCACAGTCTAGCCTAGGAATCTGTCAGGATGAGCCCGTCCTCGCCTTCCACTTTGGAAAGAAGTCTTGACACTCTTGGCACAGCCCCGTTCTGAAGTTCCCAGGCTGCCAGGACAACCTGAGACCAGCCAGCCCCACAGAACCGCCGCCCACCGGCCGGCACCGCCAAGTGTCATGGCCTCCCTCCACCACGTGCGCCATTTCCAAAGGCGCTGAAGAGCCATCCCGGAGAGAGGCGGGCCGCCCGAGGACTCGGGACTGTGGGCCGCCCAGACCCGCTCCCACGAGAGGCCAGCCCAGGTCTCCTCTCCCGCGGCCGCAGTCCCTGCCCAATCGCAGACCTGGTGCCACGGGAGGCGGACCCCTGCAGCCTCCCAGCCGGCGCCCCCAGGCACCCGCAGCGCTGAGCCAGCATCCGTTGGTGCAGCGGCACGCCGGGCTCCGGGGCCAGGCGCCCAAGGCCAGCGCGCCGTTTCGTCCTCACAGCGCCCAGCTGACCCAGACAGTGGGCCTCCGCTCCAGACACGAAGGGCAAGAGCCCGAGTCACTCGCTGGGGTCACACGGCTGGCGCCGGGGGCAGTGCCAGCGACTGAAGAGCGCGCCCCCGGGGCTTTGGTGCCCGCCGAGGACAGGTCAGGGGCACACGGGCAGCCGGCCACCACAGGGGCTCCGGAACCGCCTTCTGCCCCGGGCGCACCGCAGAGCCCGCCCCACCGCTCAGGGCTTACCACAACGGAGTCGCTGTGCGTCAGGTCGACGACCACGGGCTCTAAGGACTCGCAGGTGAGGTCCACTATCTCATCTCCGGCTTCAAAACAAAGCGTTGCGACGCGCATCAGCAGGAGCGCGAGCTCACTGGCCACGCCAGGGAGGTGGCCACAGAACTGGGCCCCAGCCCAAGCCTGGGAGCAGGGAGCAGGAGCACCAGCCCCTCCCCGGGACAGCCAGGGACGTCCTTGTGGATGGAGGGCGGCCGCATGGCGGCCCGTGGCTTTAAGGGCGCCCCGCTGGGGAGGGGCTCTGTGCACACGCGCAGCCCTGTCCCCATGGCCTTGCGCTGTATGAGGCCAGGCCTCTGCGCCCACGCCTGCTCCTTCTCGGGGACAGGCAGGGGAGGGACCAGGTATGCTCGACACGGGGCCCTTCTCCTAGGGGTGGACGGGCCGGAAACCTCTGCTCCCCCCAGCACAGGAAGCCGGGGGCTGCCACCTGCCCAGAGGCCTCGAGCCACCCTCTGCTCAGCACCCTCATCCGCTTTGTTTCATTGGGCCCCTAGCACCCCAAACACCCCAATGGGTCCCATCCATTCCAGAACAATCCTCACTCTGGTTTGTGGCTCTGAACAAACAAAGAGACTCTCCCAGCTGCTAGTGCCTTCCACGTGCAGGGGGCGGCGTGCTGCGCCTCCCCAGGCCTGAGCCGAGCCCTGAGCCCTCCGGGACTTGCAGGGAGCAGCCCAGCCCCAGCCTCCCAGCTTTCTGGGATTCGAGGTTTGGGTGATAGAAGACCAGACACAGTACTGAGAACCTTACTCTCTTAAGGCCCCACAAAACGCATCTCAGACACGTTGCTCCTTGGTAACGTTTGCTTTCGGGCATCACAGCTACAAAAACAAAATGCACGCAGAGTACAGGGGCTCAGCTCAGGCTACGTGCTGCCTCCCTGACCAAGCAGCAGGGAGGGTGCTCCTGGCCTCTGCGCACATCAACCCCCCCAACACCTGCTCTGGGCAATGTTCTGTCCTAACGGAACAGCGGAGAGGAGGCCCGAGTTCTCCACGAGGCCCCACAAACTGGAGATGCGCTTCCAATGGCCAAGTGGGCCTGGGCCGTCTCCCTGCCCTGGAGGCTGAGCAGTCTGCCAGCGGCGGCCAGTTCAGACCCACAGAGGCCCTGGGTGCCCCCGGCAGCTCTGCTGGGGGGCGGTGAGCAGTGACACTGGCCTGACAGCCTGTGCGGGCCACGGAGGGACACTGGTCTAGAGTGTTCAGCAGGATGAGGTGCGGTGCATGGGGGGCCCAGAGCCAGGCGGGTGCAGCCTGGAGGGGTCTGCAAGCCACGGTGAGAAACGCGGGCTTCACCCTGAGGGCACAGGGCAGACACCAAGGGCCAGTGGACAGAGCCAGGGTCAGCTCAGAAGCGAGGAGGGCTGCGCCCACCACGATGGAGAGCACAGAGGGACGGGAGGGGGCTGGAGGCAGGGTGACACTGTGGGGGCTGGGCAGTCACCTGGGTCAGAAGAAAAAGGGGACAAGACAGATTGCGTCGGGCTGACCCCAAGCGGTCTGTCACCGCCGTGGTCTGCTGCAGCCCGGCAGCCCCGTGACAGGCTCGGCCGCGCCCCGTTCCAGGCGCACCCTGAGGCCCGCAGCCGGCAGGCGGCAGTGCTGGGCACCCAGGTCTTGGCGGCGCGGCTGCCCCTGCCCACACCCGCCGGGGGGCGTCCCCGGCAACCTTACCACTCTCCACGAGCTCTATGGGCTCCGTGTCCAGAGCCGCCTCGGGGGTGGAGGCCGCTTCCCGAGCTCGCTTCTGGGCAGGTCTGGAGCTTGCGGCCCCTCCTCGACGCTTCCTCTGAGACACCGGCACCGGCAAAAGAAACTCACGTTAGTCCTGACAGGGCTCAGCAGGGCCGTGAAAAGGGCCAGCCCCCAGAGCGGGCCCCTCATCAGGAGGAAGAGCAGAGAGTGGAGAGCAGGCCTGGGGTGGGTCCTCCCAACACATGAGGCTCCAGACACTGAGCGTTTAGAGGTAAATCATCCAAAACACAATGAACCCAAATTCTGTAAAGTGAAACCCGTCCTATCAAGTCACCAGTCTGTCAAAAACAGCCGACACGCGACTCCACAGGAGCCTGGGCCCAGTTCGGGATTGGTGGACACCACCCTTTAACCACAGTGAGAGGCCTGCCTCCTCGGGGTCTGTGCTGGGCCTCACGGAGCCGGTCCTGTTTTCAGCCCAAAGACCTTCAGTTCCCCTAACTTCCACCCACCACGGAGAACAGGTCTTCCTCGGGGAAACCTGGCCTCTGACCTCTTAGGACACATCAAGTGGGGTTCAGCCCTGACAAGCACCCCCCCCCCAACTCAAAGAGCCAGAGATTCCTCAGCCTGTTCCAGGGCCACCTGGGAGCCCCGCCCCCGACCACCAGAGCAAGCCCGGCGGTGGGAGCGACGGAGAGGACCCCCAGGCGGCCCTCCGGGGTTCGGGGGTGCCCGGGGATGTCTGCGCCATCCCCATGAGGGGATGCACCAAAGCAGAGCTGCCTCCACCGTGAGGACAGCTAACAACGGCCGACACAGTGACGTGCTAGGCCTGCTCTCTGAGGGGCGGAGACCTCTCGCTGAGGGTTCTTCCCCGACGCTCACGCTGGATGTGGAGCTATACAGGGCGAAGAAACCAGAAGACACGAAAACCAGAGCCCTGCCGCACCAGGGCGCGGGCCGCTGCTCTGTGGGCACGGAGTCCCCGAGCCACAGTGCGGCCCCGCAGCCGGCCCTCGGAGCGCCGCCCGGCTCAGCCACGCACGCCGCTCTCCGCCTCCCGGGGGTCCCGCACGGGGCGGGGGGCACGACTCAAGAGTCCCGTAACAGGCCATGGGGGATGAGGCAGCTGCTCAGCCTGGAGAGTGAAACAGCCCGAGCTGACGGAACTCACCGTGCTCATGCTGCTCTTCAGCTGCAGCCTGCAGAGAAGGAAGGGGCCTGGACCGAGGTGCGCGGGGCCGCCGGACGTTCGACCGCTCACGCCCGCTGCCCGCTCATCCTCTGGCCAGCGCAGGCATCGGGGGCCCCGCAGACTTCCCGTGCTGCCAAGTTCTGAAAAACGGAGGAATCAAGCTCATAAACACTGCCACCCGCACCTTCCGCCGTGCTTTGTTCTCCTGGTCGCCAGAGGGGGACACTGTGTAACATGACCTCGACCTCACTTTCCCCTGAGGAAGCAAGCACTCCTGTAAAATGCAGGGCCACCGATCTCAAAGCCCATGACCCTGTCCCCAATGCTGGCTGCTGAAACCCGGTAACGGCTGCTGGGAAAGGAGGAGACTCAAACTGGCCCATGTGACCTCACCCACCCCTCGCAGTGGGAAGGGGCAGAGCGTCCCTGGCTGGAGCGGAGCCCCGAGCTCTGGCCTCTTCCCGGGACTCTGCTGTCCCCGTCTGGGGCAGCTGAGCACTTGCAGAGGTGGCGGAGGCCGCCCGCCGATGCTCACTGCATGCACAGCTGAGCGGGAAGGACTACGGGTGGGGCTGCGGTGGTGGAGCAGGGGGCTCTGGGGGGCAGAGAAAGAAGGCGCAGGGGCTGCTGGGGAGGGCGGGCCTGGGTTTCCCTGGGAGGGGGCGGCTGGCTGCAGCCAATGTAGCACCAGGGAGGCAGTGCTGGGCAAGGGGGCACATGAGAAGCAGAAGCGAGGAGCCTGCAGCCAGGCGCCAGCGTCGGGGCCAGGGCAGCGGCGCTCACACTCGAGCTGGCGCCCGCTCACCAGGAGTTGTTTCCGGCTCGGCAGGTCTGGGACAGGCTCACAACGGCGCGTGTCCACCGAGCACCCAGGCTGTGCTGATGGTGCTGCTCCAGAGGCCGCCGCCGGCCCCACAAACCGCCCACCCTGGGCACCCCACCCCTGCTGTCCCCCATCTTTCTGGAACACACTGCCGAGCACCGCGGCCTCTGCTGGGTCCGCGTCAAGCCCGCGCTCCTAAGCACGGACTGCAGGGAGGAGCTGGCCCTGCAGCCCCGCGCTTCCGAACTCCTCCTCATGGCCTTGGGTGAGGCACTGGCACAGGTCCTGCCACAACTCAGAGGCTACGGCCACTGTGCGCAAGGCACCGCACTTCCCAACCCCATCACTTGCGACCTTATCACTCGAGGAAGAGGCAGGTTCTATGCGGTCACCATTCCCCACGTGGGGAGCCGAGGAGGACCAGGGCAAAGGGACTTGCCCAAAGCCTCCAGCAGCGCACATCACAGCCTGGATTCAAACCAGGGTGCCTGATACCAGGATCACGCTCGAAAGAGACGCCATGCCAGAACCAGGGCATCCACGAACCGGGGCTAGGGAAGGGGCCAAGAAACAGGTACTATGGGCAGATGGGCCCAAAGGCTGCTGGGGGGCCCGGGGAGAGACTGGGGTGGCAGCAGAGACAGTGGGATGTGTGCCCCTTGCAGAGTTGAGCTATAAAGAGAACACAAAGTCAGGAACGAAGGCTGAAGGACCCGGGGACACCAGCAAGACAAAAGCGGCTGTCTGAAGGAGGAAGCAAGCAGGTGGGGGGATCCTGGCTGGGGCGGTTCAGGGGGCTGAGCACCGCCTGCGGACTGAAAGGCTGCTGGTCAGGGCCCACGCCTGGGTTGTGGGCCCGGGCTCCAGTTGTGGGCGCACAAGAGGCAACTGACCAATGTACCTCTCCCTCTCTTTCTCCCTTCCTTCCCCTCTCCAAAAGTAAATTTAAAAATTTTTAAAAATCAACACCACCACACAGGGGGAGCGTGGGCCAGGATGAGGCCACAGCGCAGCCTCATGAAGCCAGTCACTGCTGACCAAGCAGCAGAGGCCCAAGCTGTGCTGTGGGTCAAGCAGGGCCGCCTGGAGGAGTGACCTGGGCGAGGAGGCCCGATGGGAGGGGCTCTGCAGGAAGCAAAGCGGGTGGGCGGGCACGTGGAAGGCAGAGGACGCCCCAGACAGCACTGCCCCGCGTGGAGGGTGACAACCCAGGACGGGCTCCGCTCCTAACCCATACCCCCACAGGGACAGTCAAGCGTCCTAGACACAGGCCACCTTTCCACATGCACTCAGAGAGACGTCACCCGTGTGCTCCGAGGGCCACTGGCAGACGGGACGAGTCAGAGCACAGCCTGGCACAGAGGCTTAGAGTGCCCGGGCAGGACAAAGCTGTGCGGCTCAGAGGCGCTGGCGGAGCGTGGCTGGGACAGCGGTGGCCGGCCGCGTGGCAGGCGGCGTGGAAGAGGCCGGTGCTGCTGTGCCCGCGCAGATTTCGTGGCCCCCTCCACCTGGCCGTTCCTGTGAGGGGGCCTGCAGAGCGCGACACACAGGCTCACAGGTGCACGTGCTACATGTGGCCGTACGCATATGTCCGCAGGCCTCACAGGAAGACGCAGAGCAGGGCAGGAGGGGGCCGGAGGAGCAGGACGAGCCGGGCTCTGTCACAGCCTCTCGCAGCCCTGTTTTCTGGTGGCCCGGCCCCAAGGGGCGCCCAGAGCCCTCACCCCGCACCCGGGCAGCAGACCGCCACCACTGCCCTGAAAGCTGGGGGCTCACCCTGCGCACGGGCCCCAGGAGGCCAGCGATGCCGACTCTCGGGCCCGCACCCCTGGCCCCGAGCCCACGGCGGCTGGGTGCCTCTGGAGTTCCGACGCGCTGGCTGGGGCAGCCTCGTCACGCTGGCACAGTGCCAGCAGGGAGAAGCCTACATCCCACAGGACCGCAGCCGGGAAATGCCCGTTTGCAGGGGGCGGGGCAGTCACAGCCAGGAACAGTACCCTACAAGGCGGACTGGGAAGGACAGGAGCGTCCACCTGGGAGAAGCTTGGGGAAGGAGGAGAAATGGGGCTCCAGACTGTGCATGAGCACGTCTATGAAGGACAGATGGAGGGGGGACAAAAGGGGTATGAGGCTCGACCATGTTGAGATTAGAAAGAAAAGGATGACGTGCTTTTTCCTTTTTAAAATTTTGTTTGTTCAAACTTTTCTTCTTCATTCATGATACACACTAGAAATTCTCAAATCTTACAAGTTAGATCACATAGGTTTTAATAAAATGTATAAGTACATTAAACCCTTGTTATAACTGAGTGAATAACTAACTGTAAAAACCAACATACTAACGCAACTGAAATAAGCCCGCACCTGTATGTCCGCGGGGGCGGAGCAGGCCCTGGCCGGCCCACGCGGCCCCTTCCCACCCCGACCTTCGACCGTCCCCGTGCTGTCTGAAGGTCTTCCCTCAGCGGGGTTCAGAAGGAGGGTCACGGAACGCCTGTGAGGATGCAGGGCTCTCTAAGGACGGTTCTGTGTGGTGCTCGGTGCCTCTGGCACAGCACAACCTGCGATAACTTCTTGAATGGAACTTTATGTCACGGTCACATCCACAAACCAGACCTTCGTACTTAGGAACAACAGGAGCTCCTGGTGTGTTACCCTAAGAAAGTGTATGGCAAACAGCCACATCCTGCAGCCGGCAGCCTGCGCCCGGGAGCCGGCCACAGACACGGGACCTCCACGCCTGCGCTCTGCCCTCTCTACTGTGGGAAAACACCCTCTACCCTGCTGCTGCTCCACGGGGCAGGGATGCTGCATGCGAGTGCCCAGCGTGGTCCCGAGCACGCTGGCGGCATCGGTCCGCTACTTAAGTCCACACCCACGCATAGACGTCTGCTCTGGGCCAGGCACTGCTACAGAGGCAGGGCGGGGGGCCCAGCAGGCGCTTGCGAAGCCCCTGTTTTAAGTGGAAGGACAATCAGTGAATCCAATAATGGTGACATGCAGTGCCAAAAGGGCCAGGAATCGGGGCCCTTCTTACCAGTGTGCAAGCAAGGCCAGCCCTGAACCTCAGGAAGAAAGGGAAGGAACGCTCCCGGCTCTCCTCCCAGGCAGTCATTCCAGAAGGAGGCGCGGCCCCCCCACCCCGGCTCCTGCCCCGGCCAAGGCCACCGCGGCCACAAAACCCAAAGGCGGCGCTCGGGCCTGCCTGAAGGAGCGCGAGCAGCGGGGATGCTGGGCTGCCCCTGCGGAGTCAGGACGCAGGTGGGCCGGGGCGGGGTGGGGGCAGAGCCGGTCCAGAGCCACTACCAATAGCCAAGGCTCAGGCTGGCGACCGTCAGAGGCTTACACGTTAGATTCTTCGATCTGTCGCTAGGCAGAAAGCAGCTAAGTAAGGCCCCACAGGGGGAACCCCTCATTTGCATGGGGGGGTTGGTCTTTTCCTTCCATTTCCAGGCAGACACACCCTGGCAAATGGGGGCCAGCCGTGGAAGGGCCAGCCAAACCCCATGGTCTCCAGGCACTACTCTGGACAGGGGACCCACACGGCCGGTGGGCAGCCGCAGAAGCCCAAGTCCAGATGCTCCTTAGCAGCGCCCAGCGCCCAGCAAGCACCTATGGAGAGGAGGGCTCCTGCAGCCAGAAAAGGCGGGGAGGCTCTGGGAAGGCCCTCAGGCGGGCCCGAGGAGGCTAAGCCAGCCACAAGGTGGCTACTGGGAAAAAATCGCCCAGCCTCCAAACCCCAAGAACGTTGCAAATGTCCCCAAGTGATCACATCCATGGTTTCACACCCTATGGCCAACCTCCCCTCCCTCCCCTTTCTGGCCTCTTCTGCAGGTACAGATATGCACAGTCTTAAAAATCACCAACCAACACAAAAACCCACAAGGCTTACGGGAAAAAATGGAATTACAGACCCAACACTCAACAACTTCGTCAACGACACACACAGGCCAAACGGGTAAGAAGTGCACAATGCCACAACCACGGTGCGCTTTCCCAGTGGCACCTGGGAGTGAGTGAGTCCCCGGGAAGCGGGCGAGGCCTGACACCAGGTGCGCACTGGCACGGCTCCAGGGCGCGTCCTACAGGGGCGGCCAGCAGGCACCCGAGGGGCGGGCGGGCCCTGGGCACGCGGCTTGGCCCAGCAGGGCTCAGTTGCATGTTCACCTCGTGCTGGGCTGGCCAAAAGGTCTGTTTAGTTTTTTCATAAAAGACATGCTTTTCATTTTCACCAATAACGTCAGTGATGTGGGTGTTCTGAGTGCATCAGCCGCCCCCTACTATTGGCCTCCAGTGGGGAGAGGCTGGGGGCTGCTGAACACCTTCCAATGCACGAGGCAGTCCCACAGCAAAGGGTAATTTGGCCAAAATGTCAATGGTACCAAGAAACTTTACAAACCACTCTGACACGTTCGATCAGTCACAGCACCTTCTCCATACACCGCACAAATCTTTTTTTGCATTTGTCGCGTTTTTACCTTTCATGCAATAAGAAAGCGTAACACGCCAAAAATATTGTATTTTCTTCCATCTGCAATATTAAAATGGCTGCACAAAAATTCACCAATTTTGTTAAGTTTTTAAAAATGCACGCTGATTTGACAGCTGTCACGATGCACTCTAAAAAACTGTTTCGAATGATGCTGAAGGCAACGAAGCACCACTGGAGCCCTTACGGGAAAACACAAACAGAGCTTCTGGCCCCGCAGGAGAGAAGAGATGCCCAGCAGACCCACGCCCCCGCCACGTCCACCCTGCTCCCCAGTACGTCTGTCCCGCTGCGGCCGCTTCACTTGTCCAAACAAGCGTGCGAGGCAGAGCTGTCCCCGTGCCTCCAGGCATGCCAACGTCAAGCCCCCCACGCCAGGCTTTCCTGGTGCGGCACCACCGACACCTGTCAGGCCTCCGGCCCCTGCCACTTTGGGGAGCCCTGCTCACCCTCCGAGGATGGCCTCGGCGCTGGGGCATCTCCCGCACTGCTGGCCCTGACTAACCGTTTCTTCTTCTGCACTCAATACGACAAACGTAGCTCTAGGTTGATGATTTTTAACAGCACCCCTTCCTCTTAGCATGGCCCTTGGCACCAACATGTTGATGAAATTATTTTTTTTCACTGAAATTAAATTATCAAGCCCCTTAGAAGAGGTGGCACAGTGTTTCAGGGTTGGGGAGACGGTGAGCGGGGAAAATGGAGCTTACACTGCAGGTGAAAGCAGTCACGGCCAGGGAGCAAAGGGAGACTCAAACAGATGACTGTCAGGGGAGAGCGGAGGGCTTCTCTACAAGGCGGCCAATCAAAGGGGTGCTTGAAAAGAAGAGTTTTAATGCGGCAGCAGAGCTGCGCCAGCTGGCTGATGTGAGAGGCGAGGCGGCCCAACAGAGATGTGCCCGCGTCCTAGGACCGCCACCTCGGCTGAGCGGGGAGGGACTCCTCAGGAGCAGCAGCCTTCGGGAACGCTGCGCAATCACGGAAAACCACGTTTCATGAGAGTTTTTGTTATCAGACCTCTCCTGGACAGATGTTACTTCAAAAGAAAAACATAAAAATAAAGGCAACATCCCCCACTTGTAAGTTGTATTTTTACAGCTTGACGCTACTAGAAACGCTGGCTGTGTGCTTTCCCACCACAGACAAATGCGGGTGGCCAGGTCCAGGCCAAGGAGGACAGATGCTGGGGTCTGAGGTTCAGAGGCGAGGTAGGTCTGCTCGCTGACTTGTGCCCTGGAGCGACTGACGGGTCTCCTGCGCTTTGGGACCCTTAAACGGAGCTCAGCACAGCCCCAGGCAGGCCGGATCTGTGACGAGCAAAGCAGTGGAGACCGCTCACTGGGAGAAACGATAGATCACAAACCCAGACAACTGAGTCCACTCCCATCTCCGCAGAGAGACGCGATTACAATTCCAAAACAGCAATGCGTTGCCTGCTAAGAGCGTCCTTTAGCAGACACCCTTTCATGTTCAATCTGCGCATGTCAGGTGAGTCTGCCTGGCCAGCCAGTTTGTTCAGCCGTCTGGAGGCGCCCGCATGGGCACACCAGAGGACCGTGAGGGTTACGGAGAACATTCCTGGAGAGCCAACGGTCACAGTGTCTCTTCCGCACAGCAGGCTACTGACAACCCTCACTTTGACACCTTCCCGGGCCGCTCCTGCCCTGTGTGACATGCCATTCGGGAAGTGCCAGCTCTACTCACACCTGGAAAAACCACTTGCAAAGAAGTCCAGGCCCCAGGAACGCAGCCTCCACCTCCGGGTCGCACTGAGACTCTGACCTCAGCATCGGGGCTCTGGACCTTCCTCCTCAGAGAGGAGACCCCCAAATGCCTTGCTCCAAACTCCGAAAGTCCTGCTGGGAAACAGGCTACTGAGGAAAAAACCAGAGAGAAGAACACCCGCGTGTACGTGGATTACACCTCAGTACGCCAGCCCTGTCACGTTCTCCAGGAGCCACCGTACCCTCCAAAGGGCCCTGACTTGGGGACCGTGGAAGGTGGTCAGCCATCTCACACTGAGACAATAGAGGACACAAACCCACCACCATGTGCACGCTCGCACTGAGCAGCACCGGAAACCTTCCCCAGGGACCCGGGGGAAGAACCCCAGGACGGGACCTGCTGACAGCCCTCCAGCGAAGGGCTGGGCAGAGGGAGCTGCCCGCTCCCAGCTACCTTTCCGCACCCACCTGGCCCTGGGGCCGCTGGTCTGGCCGGCCTTCCTACGCCACCCGCTGACTTTTCTGCAAGACCAATTTAACCCTGTGACTTCCCATTTGGCCTTAAAATAAACTCCGAATTCCTGAACGGGGAAGCATACCCAAGACCCTCGTTGGCCTGGTTGCCACTCACCCCCCAGTCCCACCTCCTGACAATCTGTGTTTCAAGGCCGCCCGCAGCGCCTCTCCCTCCCGCCCCCTCGCTGCTCACCCCCACCAGGGCCTGGGCGCGGCGTGCTCTGTTCACTGCGCACCCCAAGGGGGAAGCCTGGCATCCAGAAGACCTGAAACATGTGCTGCTTAGAATGTTGAAGAATGTAATTCTTAAAGAGGGCAAAAAAAAAAAAAAAACCCAACCAAAAACCAACTCTTTGAATGAGGGTTAGAAGTTCAAATACAGGCAATACAACATGCCTGCAACGTAATTTTCTACTTGAATGTTCTCATTTTACCTCGAACTCAAAGGTAAAACCAAAGCCAATGTTGCCCCTCCCCCCATTAAAAAAATGAGAGAGAGAGAAAGGAAAGCCTTTCGTTACCAGAGGTCCCCAAACGCCTGGTCACTGAACTCGAAGGCCTGGTCCTGCGGTCCACCAGCCGGCCGCCGTGTGACCTTGGGCAGCTGAGCCGGGTGCAGGGCCGCAGAGCTGAGACCCCGCGTCCGGCTCCGGGGCCGGGGCGCCGAGGCAGAACAAAGGTGTGACTGTGAACGTCAGTGGGTCCGTTCAAGGAGAGCAGGAACTCCAAACCCCGGCAAAAACGGCCCCCGCGGGCCCCAGCTGCTCCAGCTCTGGGCGCTCCCCGCCTCCCTCGGCGGGGCAAAGGGGGAAGGTGGCATTCACCGCAGTTTCGGGTCCCAGGCCTCAGCGCCGAGACGCTGCTTAACCTTCAGGAACCGGTCGACGGGCGCCCAAGGGGCGGGCCTCCGCCGCAGCAATCACGGGTCGCCAACGACCGGAAGCTGAGAATTTACTAAGTCTGGGCCCTCGCTGGGCGCCCCCAGTGCGGGCCCCCGCCCCCTTCAAGCCCAGAGGAGGCGCGGGGGATCCGCGCGAGCACACAAAGGGGGCGGCGTCAGCAGGGAACAAAAACCTTGCCCAGGTCCCCCCGACCCGCCCGACGCCCCGCTCCCTGGGCCACCCCGCCCCACTCTTCGAGTGACCTTGGGAGCACCCCTTCCCCTCTCAGCCTCAGTTTCCCCGACTATGCTACGGAGCGCAGCCGGTTTCTGCGCGCCCGTGCAGCCGCGACGTAGGGCGAGGCCGCCCCACTTTCGTTGCCTGCGCCGAGCTGGGCTCGTGTAGCCGCGCGGACAGCGGGCGGACGAGCCGACCCTGCTATCCCGGGAAAGGCCCGGCCTTGGCGTCAGGGCCCGAGCGGGATGCCCGCACCAAGGCGGCTCCTGGGCCGCGGCGCCGAGGCCTCTGCAGGCCGCGAAGCCACCCGAACCCCTTACCTGCCGCCCGGCTTGCTCCTCCCTCCCCGCGAAGCCTGGCTTTACCTGGGACTGGTTAGGTCTGGCAAGCGCCGCCGCCGACGCGTTCGAGTCAGGAAGCACCTTCCGAAGTGGCTGCCGAGTAGCACTCCAACAAGACGCCGCCGCCTCAACTGCGATCCACTTCCGCTCCTGAGGCCTCGGCTCCGCCTGCCTGGCGTTTCCATTGGCTGCCTCCGCTCTTACTCCCGCGTTTTACGGGACGAGGAGGCATATTTTCAATTCTATTGGATGAGACAACCGTCTATAACCACTTTGAAACGCGGCTTTTTCCGGCCTCGCTCACTCTCGCGAGACTAAATTTCCATCACCTCGCGAGATACGCGGCCGGCGCCCCTCGCTCGTCTGCAAGACCTCTCGGGAATTGTGGTCCGCCGAATAACTCCGCCCGCGGACGACGCGGAGCTGGAAGTCAGCGCTGGCCAGCCCTTCCGTGACGCGGGTCCCCGGCCGCCGCGTCCCTCTTCCGGCCTCAGTTTCCTCGTCGCTTAATGGGCCCTTTGTGAGCAATGTTCCCCAGGAGGCTGGGCCAGGATCCGCACCTCCTCCAGGGCGCCCGCGCCCCCCGAGGTGCCAGGCCCTGGGCCAGCGTCTGTCTCCGGGAGCCTAGACTGTCCCAGGCTGGCGGTGGAGACGGGAGGGAAGCCCAGCCCGGCCCGTCTGCGGGAACCCGGAGGACGCGGCTTCGAAGGTGGGAACTGAAGGGACTCGAAGAGCCTTCCAGAAGAGGGAGCCTGGGCGGGGATTGATGGGCTGACTCGTCCGGGACACCGAAGGCCGCCCGGTGCGCCCGGAGCACAGAGGTAGGGAGCCGTGGGGCGGAGGCGGCGAGACTCAGACCTTGGAGGTCAGGAACCCGGCCCAGATGCCAGGTTGAGAGCCTGGATTATCCTCAGGGCCGTTGGTGTCAGGGAGAGCAGGGCTGAACCTGCGGGGACGAGAGCCCTCTTGCCCCGGTCCCCCGGAGGGCCAGCGGAAGCCTGGAGCTCTCGAGGGGTGGGGGGTGGGGGGGGTCCCCCGGGCCGCCAGGACAACCTCGAGAGTAAAGAGAGCGCGGGCCTTGGATCCCTTCTGCCCGAGTTCAAATCCCAGCTCCACTGTTTAAGCGAATCTCACTGTTCCCTCACCTGTCCTGTGAGGATAACACAGGACCGACGGCCGAGGAAGACGATGAAGAGCTGGAGGACTCCGCGCAGGCCCAGGCCAGCCCTTGGGTGGCGGCCGATCAGCCCTTCTGTTGTAAGAATACCAGCCCTCTGGCCCCGGCCATCACCTCTGGCCCGGGCACCTCCAGGATGTGAGAGGAGGTCAGTCTCACGCCTTGGGATGGACAGTTCCCTCAGCGGGGGTCTTTAGCCCAGAAGATTGGGTCTTGTGTGGGCACGACTAAGCAGATCAAAAGCAGAGCTGTAAGGTGTTCGCGCTGAGTTTCCAGGCAATCTCTCTGCTATGTTATGCAAGTCTAAGGGAATTTGGCATGGTAGAGTGCCAGAGCACTCTGATTCCAGTGTGAAATACGTGGCTGAGCACTTCATTCTGTTAATGATTTCAAGCTGGAAGGTATGAGAGTTGTCACAGCTTGTACTCATAACTGGAAGAGCACTAAGCAGAATTTACAAGCTTAGGAGGACTGTGGACATTTAATACATCTCTAGGAACTCTAAAATACCTGAAAGGCAGACAACTGAAATGCTAAAAAAATAAAATAAATTAGATTCTACATGTACAAATGCAGTTTTAAATGTTTACGGGGGATTTCAGGTTATAAATTGCACCATACATGACTCATCAAAGTGATAGCTAAAAACGACCAGCTTTATAAATAGATTAGCAATGTGGATTTCACAGCCTAAGGAGAAGCTAGGGTTTTTTATTTGTAACTTTTATACATTAAAGATGTGATGTTGACAAACCAGAGTCACGACAAATACCTCCTTCGTGCTCAAAAGCTGCCTTTGAGGCCTCTGCAGACCTCGCTGGACGCTGAACTTGTGAGCATCCCTGGCTCCCTCACAAGTATGGCCTCCGTCTGGCCCCGCAAGCCCCCAGCTTAGAGGCGAGACTGGTCCCCCTGCGCTCTCGCTGGGCCACACAGCTGAATGCAGGTGCCCGGGCCGCATGCCAGAACCTGGGCCTCTGGGTGCGAGGCCTGAGAATCTGCAAAGACAGACCCCCCCAACCCCCCACCCTGGCCTGAGTGCGTTTCAGATATTGCCATCAAGGGTCTTCAGGTGGCACAGACGCCAAGAATACACTGAAGCAGAATGTCAGCTTCCCAGGTGGCCCAGAGAGAGTTCCCTCGGCACAGCTGTACCTCGTTTCCCTCGGCTGGCCTCCCGCAGCTGGAGCAGCGAGGGGCCGTGCCCCTTCACCGTTGCTTCAGGACAAGGCTCCGCGGAGCCCAGTGCTCTAAGCAAACAGGCATCTACTGCTCGTGAATACGAGTTGGTTCCCGGGGCAGGTGTTGGTCCTGGCAGAGCTCACATGTGGGCTCTGCTGGTGCGGAGGGGGGCCGCACGGGGACAGCTGGCGCTCCTCCACACGGGGCTTCATCCCAGCAGGCCACCCAGGACGTGCGCGCACCGGGCCGGGCAGGGTTCCAGGAGAACAGGAGGGAGCTCCAACGCCACTTGCGGCCTGGGCTCTAAGCTGGCACGCAGCCACTTGTGCGGAGTCCTTGAGCTGGCCAAAGCAAGTCAGGGGCTGGGGGAAACAGGCTCCGCCTCCTGACGGGCAGTCGCAAAACAAGGAACCTGGACTGAGGGAGATATTTTGCATCAGTCTACCTGGCTGCACCCTCAGGGGATGGCCCACAGCCTGCTCCCCACAAGGTGTGTGGGGCGCAGAAGCCCAGGAGCTCTTGAGGCTTCTCTGAGCAGCGGGCCAGTCCAGGAGGACGGGTAGGGACCCTGCGGGCTGCCAGCCAGCACCGTCGTCGGGATTTTCTGGACTCCCTGGGCCGCCACCTCTCCCCCTTGCCGCGGGGTGCTTTGGGCGGCCGCTGCAGGAGCTGGCGTGTGGAGCGTGTTCCGTTCAGGCTAGTGACACGGCATCGACGCTCGTCCCCGGCGTCAAGGACGGAGGGGCTTCCCTCCTGAAGCACCGGGAAGACAAGACCCGTCCTCGGGCGGGTGGGGTGAGGCTGGAGCTGCCGAGGTGCAGAGGCCGAGCCCCCGGATCGGCAGGCCCTGAAGTCCACCCTGCCTTTGGATCGCCAGCTCTGGGAGCTAAGGGTTCCCCCTGTGAGCCCCTCAGAGCCCCCGAGGGACTCTCCGGGCGGGCCTCATCGATGGGTGCCCTTGGTAGCGAATGAAATGGGTTTGAAACACAACACAGGATGTGAAAAATGTGTTTATTTCTCTACATGAAATTTAATCTGCTCCCAGCTCTAATCTGACAGGGCGATGGGAAAGTCCTCCTTTTACCAACCTGGGTTGGGGGAAATGTCTGGGATTCTAATGTGGGTCAGAATATTGGGGGAGAGCTCTGTTCTTTCTGTTCTTGCTGCTTCAAGGTACCTACCGCCCTGATCTGAGTGTGCCCTCGGGTCCGGCCTCCCCCTCTGAGGTGCCATCTTCCCCGAGGACCCAGGCAGGGTAGAGGGGGGACTCTCCCCTGGACGTCCACCCCACCTGGCAGTTTCCAGCCCCTCCTTTTGGTCCCTCACCCCAGGGGCTTGCCCATACTCTCTCCTTCCTGGGAGTGGCAGTGCCGCCGGCCTGTCCCCACGGCCGCACCCTCTCCAGCCTGGTGCTGGGCCCCAAGACCCAGGAGAACGAATCCACCCCTGTCTGTCCTTGGGCCCGCTTGTGCCTAGTGGCCCAACCTTGTTCTTTTGGTGACGCTGGAGGAAGCTGGGCAATGCTCTGAGGTCCCCAGGCTTAGCTTTGGGTCCTGGCTCTCGGGCCATGTCACTTCCCCTGTGAGCACAGTGCTCATCTGCAGAAGGGGGTGGGGACAATTCCTTCTCCATCCTAACCCCCCCGCCCCCCCTCCCGCAATCATCACTGTTAAGTTTTCATGAGATGCTGCATGAGAAGAGCCAGTTCCCAGGGGCTCAAGGATCCTGGCCACTTCTCCGACCAAACGTACACCCACTCCTGGGGGTCCCCAGGTTAAACCACTTGACTCCAGACGGAGAGTGGGGGCTCCCGGTGTCCACACACAGAAGGGGCTCTGGGAGCTATGAGGAGGGGACGCTGGGAATGCTGGGCGTAGGGAAGGATAGGTGGCCATATTTAGCACATAAAATACTGGGCCCCGGGTCCATTCGAATCCCAAATAAAAAGCAGAGACTCTTTTGGTGGAAGTTTGCCTCAATCTGGCATCCTGCATTTTATCTGGCACCGCTGCTCAGGGCAGGAGGGAGGTGGGGGCTGGGGCGCGGCCAGAGGGGCGGGTGGGGGCAGCCGAGCCCAAGGAGGCGCACACGGTGTGCCGCTCACTTTACCCCGGCCGGGATCTCGGGGTCCAGGGACGAGGCCCCCTGGCTCAGGTGGCCTGCAGGCGGCGCCGGGGCTCGCAGGCCGAGCCACCCCGCTGCACGGCCCGCAGCCTGCGTGCTCGGCTCTGCTCCAGCTCCAGCCAGTGCTGCGCCTCCAGCTGCGCCTGCGCCGGGGGCGGGCGGAGAGGGTTGGCGCGGCCAGGGGCAGCGCCCCTCCGACATGCGTCCACCTAGCCACCACCACCCCGGCCCAACCCGTGCAGCCTGCCCGGTCCCCGCTCACCCGCGGCTTGGGGCACCCGGTCCGCGGCGCCGGCACGTGCAGCTGGGCCGCCTGCCTGCGGCGCTCGGCCGCCGCCTCCTCGATCCTGCGCTGCAGCTCTTGCACACGCTCGTCCTGCGAGGGCGCCTCCGGGGCCGCCGCTTTCTTCTCCTCCAACCTGAGCAGGCAACAGGGCGGCCTTAGGAGGGGGTTCCGACCCCAGGGGATGGGAGTAATTCAGGTGGCCTGGGTCAGGGGCAGGGACCCTCCAAGAACCGCTCCGGTGGGGCTCCCCAGCGTCTCTGCCTTTTTGTTCTTTGTACTTAACCCTTTAAAAAAAGCATTCTGTCTGTATTAACAGCGTTCATTTGGGATAAAAAAATGAAAGCCTCAAATTTTACCTGGCATCCTCCCTTCCCCCTCTCTTGCCTAGAAGTAACCGCTGTTCACGTGCTATCTTGGCAAAGCCCTCCCAGACTAGGTCATTTTTCTTTTCGAAATAAGACATGACACAGGCTGTTCCCAGCTCCTTCACTTCAGGGGCGCGTCGCAGTCCAGGGCTTTGCAGGGCTGTTCCTGGCCCCCATGCGGCCTGGCTGGCTCCAGCCCCAGCGCCCACCAAATGCCCTTGCGCATGAACGCCGTGGGCTCCGGCTTCCCGCAGGCGCTCCAGGAGTGGCGGCGGCGGGTGGGTCTGGACCCTCGGAAGCTCCCAACGCCAACCAGACTGCATCTGGGGCCTGTCCGGTAGCTGGGCAGTGGCAAGGTCTCCCAGGTGCGCGCCACTGTGGGGACCTGCTGAGTGGCCGGCCAGCCCTCCCTGCGCAGTGCCAGCCGTTGTCACGGGCCACCTCTGAAGCGTAAGCAGAGCAGCAGACACTCAGGACCCACAGTGCTGGACTCTGTGACTGTCCTTCCTCTGTCCACCCCAAGCCAGTTACGCTCACGCCAGATGCCAGACCCTGAACCGGGCTGTGTTCTGACGGAGCTGGCCACCACCTCCTTTGGGGCACTTCCTTGCTTCCCTGTGGGATGAGGCTGGGGCCAAAGGCCAGCCCAGCCCTGGGGACTGACACCTGACCAAACAACCACATGGGGCTGGAGAAGTCACCACCGTGTTCCCCAAACAAACAGGAGTGTGTGTGCACACGCTCCCTATGAGAGGGGAGTGGAGATGCCGGCCTGTCCAATGCTGTGCAAGTCTCAGCCAGGTCCTGGTTCCAAAGAAAAAGACGTTGCAGCGAACAGCCTGAGAACCCGGAGAGATGCGGGCACAGGGTGTTCGGAGCTGTCAGGAATTTCTGCTACACTTCCTGCCTGTGTCATGTGCTGTGGTTATGTAGGACAATGCCTTTTTTTTTTTTTTTTTTTTCCAGAAGCACCAAATGGTTAGGAACAAAGTGTCAGATGCTTGCAACTACTGATGGTTCTGCAAAGAAAGATGAGTAGCTAGTCAGCTAGATGGCGCACATGACAAAGGTTGCACCCATGACCTAGATGCAGAATGACCGGGTCTAGGTCAGGGGCTCCGAGCCATCTCTGCGTGGTTTTTCACCTTCTCCGAATGCCTGAGGATGGCGGATAAAATAGCAGGGGCGGGCACCCCAGGGCGGTGGAGGAGCTGCTGCAAGGGCCACCCTGGGGCGGCGCAGGGACCGACCTCAGGGCTGCAGACCGGCCCATGGCCGCGCGGCACAGCGAGATCTGCTCCAGCGCGTTCCGCAGCTCCTGGCTCTTGGTGCGCTTGCCCTGGATGATCTGGTCCCGCCTCTCCTCCTCCTGCCGCCACTGGGCCTCCTTGAGCAGGGCCAGCCGTTCACGCAGCTCCACGATGGACATCTCCCCTTCCAGGCCGTGCCCGGGGATCTGGGGGGCAGTGGGCGAGGCCCCAGGATGGGGGCCGAGCCACCACAGGCCCAGCCCACCAGCCATCTCCTGTACTCTGGTCATCCTGGCTCCAGGCCCGGTGCCCCTCCCGCCCCCCATGGGCCTGGCCAGGCACCCAGGGCGCCACCTTCCCCCGGCCCAGCGGTGTCTGTGGGACAGGTCTGCCAGCCAGCTTCTCCAGACTGAGCCCCCTGCAGCCCAACACCCACATGGCGCCGGAGCAGGGCTGGGGCTGGGCAGGAGCACTCGGGACTCCCCCACGCACCTGGACCAGGCCGCCCCCGCCTCGCGGAGCCTGTCACGGTGCTGCTCCTCACACCGGCCCCCAGGCTCCGATGCCCAGGCTCAGCTCCCGCTCATCCAGCCTCTGGCCCCCGTGCACTGCGCTCCCCGTGCTGCCCTCCCCACCTGGGCAGTCCCGGACCTCCCTGGACAGGCAGCAACGCGAAGCCCACCCTGTCCATCCCCAGGAGCCCTGGCCCTGCCGCCCAGGGTTACTAAGTCCTCCCCAAGAGAACCATGGCTCTTGCGCCAGCCCCAGGCCCCTGCACGGTGGCGCGGGGTCTACCTCTGGGCGAGCGTGGCAGGGCAGAGTTCAGCCTGCGCATCCTGGGCACGCCCTCCAGTGGCAATGCCAGGCACACACGGTAAGACACGGGGGAGGGCGGGGGCTGTGTGCTCACCTCGGTCAGGTCCACGGGCCTGCCCTGGCGCGTGGGCTGTGTCTCCAGGGCTCGGAGCTGGGAGATGAGCTCACTGCGCCGCCTCTGCTCCTCCCTGGCCTCCTCCGCACTGCGCTGCAGCAGCGCCCGGTTCTCCTCCGTCACCTCCTGGACTTGGGGCCAAGGGGGCTGCTGCGGGCTCGGAAAGCCGGGGGTGGGGCGTGCGGCAGCAGGGGGCGCCTCCCCTCTGGGCACCTGGGCCCGGGCTAAGCTGATACACCTGGGCCCCGCCATACCTGTCTGCCGCCGGCCCTTCAGGAGCTTCATCTGCGCCACCTTGACGTTCTTCTGCCCCTCCATCACCTGCTCCACCAGCTCCCTCAGGGACCTCTGCTCCTGCAGGCGCCTCTCAGCACATTGCTGCATGAGCTCAGCCATCTGCGGGGACAGTGGCCCACCACAATCAGAGCCAGCACCACGAGGGGCCCCCTGGAGCAGACCTGGCACCCTCCACCCCGCCCCAGCCCCAGCCCCAGGCGCAGCCCAAGGTCTGGAGGGCAGATCCAGCCACAGACCCCAAACCCCTCTGGAACCAGATTGGAGCTCATGTGCCTCTGGAGGCCGGGCCTGCTGGGGAAGGCCCGCCTCGCGTCCTCTGCCCTCCACCGCGCTGCTGGGGGCGCGCCCAGAACCACGCAGCTCCCTACCCAGATCTGACGAGGAGGCTGAGAGGCGCAGCCAGGAGAGTCCTGGGGAAGCCCCCTCGCAGCCGCCGGGTTTGCCCCAAAGCCACCGGCCCCTGGGTTCCCTTTCAGAGACAGGGGCGCTTGCTGGGTTGAAGCTGCAGGGAGCTGGCCGCTCAGACACCGCCCAGGCTGGGACCGTGCACGGGACGTGCCAGCCCTCACCCCCGGCCCCGGCCCCGGGCACGCCCTGACGGCCTCCCACATTCCTCTCGCTCGAGGTGCCTTGGAAGTGGATGGCTCTAAACAAGCGCACGGTCTCGCTACTCTGACCACACATAACTGACAGCCTCTGCGTCAGCCACGTCTGCCTCTTGCGCTCAGTGTGAGGCGTCTCCTAGCCGCGCCCAGGCTCTCTGTCACCGAGCGTGGCCGGCTTCTTTCCATGGCTGTTTGCGGGAATCTGTCGCAACGCTCTGTCATTCTAACCGCTGATGGACACTCAGCCTGTTCGCACTTCGGCACTATTGTGAACCACCGAGAATGATATTTTCAGTCAAGATTTTGCAAAGGATGGGGTGGGATCTGAGCCCCTGTCACTGGCCCACGCCTGCGGGGTCCTGCTGGGCTCCCAGCCCCAGCGAGTTTCAGCACCTAGGAGCTCATGGGCAGTTGTGGGTCAGCGGAGAAGCAGCCTGCGGGCAGCGTGGACGCCAGGCGCGGGGCACGGAGTCATCCTTCATAAATGATTCGCTGGCGCCTCAGAAATGGCTCTCGCCCTGGCTGGTGGGGCTCAGTGGACCGAGAACCAAAGGGTCCCCAGTCCGATTCCCAGTCAGGGCCCGTGCCTTGGTTGCAGGCCGGGTCCCTAAGAGGGGGCGTGTGAGAGGCAACCACACATTGGTGGTTCTCTTCCTCTCTTTCCCCTCTCTAAAAACAGTATAAAATAAAGTAAAATAAATAAAATCTGAAAAGGCTCTAGACCATCTCTTTCCAGGCTGTGCAGTTTCATCCCTGGGCCAGGAAGTGGCATTTGGGGCCAGGACAGCGGGGACACAGCCCGAAGCCCCTTGCAGCACCCTGAAGTGAGGAAGTGCCCAGAGAACCCAGGGCAGAGGGTACGTCAGACGGACCGGGGGCTGCCTTGAAAGGACCCCTGCGACCAAAGCGGACGCCGCACCAATAACGGCGAAGTGGGTTACAGCGCAAGTGTAAGGCCAGCGAACGAGTCCACGCTGACGTAGTGAGGGGCTGGACCCACGAGCCCGCGGGGAGAGCTCTCGCCGCCCTGAGTGTGGCCGCCGGCGGCGACCCCCTCCGAAGAGCACACAGGGACAAGGGGAATGACTGCGGAGGACAAACGCAGCAAACGCGACCCCGGCCAGGCGGTCGGGGTCGACGGCCACGGGGCCAAGCCTGCGGCCGGCGGGCTTCCCGGGCAGGCTGTGGCGGGCACGTTGCCTCCGCGAGCCGTCTCCCTCCCGCACCCCGGTGCACTCGGAGACGCCCAGCCGGGGACGCTCCCTGGGACGCCTGACCAGCGCTCCTCAAAACCGACGACGTCGAAAAAACAAACAAATAAACCAACCAACAAGGCCATTAAGAACAAGGGAAGTCTGAGGAAATGTCAAGCCACGAGGAGCCTGAGCGACGGCAACGCAATGGGACGGGTCCCCGGGGCGTCCTGGACCGAGAGAGGGCGTCGGGGGGAATGATGGGGTCCGAAGAGCGCCTCGTACCAGCATTGGCTTCTTAGTTGTGACACAGACACTCTGGGGTGGCGGGCAGTGACCCCTCCCCAATCCATGGCCACCTGGAACCTCAGAATGTGATCCTGTTTCCTACTCGTTAAGTGTCAAGTGAGTGCCGGGCTGGCCAGAAAGTTCTTTTTTTTTCCGTACGATGGCTCTAGTAGCGCTTACTTGTCTTTGACTTTATATGAAACAATTTTGTTAGATTGTGACAGCTGTCAGACCGGCGTGCATTTAAAAAAATGATCAAAATTGGTGAACTTCTGTGCAGCCATTTTAACACTGAAAAATGGAAGAATATAAGCAACATTTTGGGGGAGATTATACTTTCTTATTTCAGGAAAGGTAAAAGCGCAACTGAAATGCAAAAAAAGACTTGTGCTGTGTGCAGAGAACGTGCTGTGACTGATTAAGCGTGTCAACGGTGGTTTGCGAAGTTTCAGGCTGAAGCTTTCTCCCTGGACGATGCTCCCTGGTCGGGTAAACCCGTTGAAGTTGATAACGGTCAAATCGAGACATTAATTGAGGATGATAAACATTATACCACGTGGGAGACAGACGAGATACTCAAAATATCCAAATCAATAAAGTTATTGGTGAAAATAACTTTATGGAAAATGTTCTTTTATGGAAAAAAAACTAAACGGACTTTTTGGCCCACTCAATAATTAGTTCAGGATCTCGAGGTGAAGTCAACCTGGATTTAGGATGGGCCCTAAATCCAATGACAGTGTCCACGTAAGAAGAGGGGAGGACACAGAGAGACACGGAGAACATGGCCACGAGGATGCGGGCAGAGGTGGGGGTGAGGCTGGCACAAAACAAGGGGTCCCTGGGGCCACCAGAACCGAAGGACCGGGGAAGGACCCGGCCCCGCTGCAGGCTTAGCCCGGAGCGCAGCCCAGCGACACCTGGCCTCACACTTCGGCCTGAGGGCCCGGACTCCGCTGCAAGCCGTGCGGCCTGTGAGATGCTGCCAGCGGCGGACGCGGGTGGGGAGGCTGTGAGGGCTCTCCGTACCCCCTTTGCAACTCTTCTGTAACTTTAAAACGGTTCCAGAATAAAAAGTTCATTTTAAAAAGTACCTCTGAAAACTGTAATGAGTTGGAGAAAGGCTTGTGTGGAAATACCAGGCGTCAAAAAGTGGGCTTCGGAAACGTTCGGGGAGCCTTATCTCGAGCACACCTCGGGCGAGCAGAGAAAGACGCCCGGACTTGGGGGCGAGCGGAGTTGCGGGGCCCGGCTCGGCCGCAGCCGGTGGAGGTTGGGAGCAGCGTGGAGGCCTGAAACCATGCGAGTCCTGGAAGAAAACGTGGGCGGGGGGCTGCTGGACGTTGGTCTTGGCAGTGATTTTTAAAAATTTGATATGAAAAGCACAATCAACGAAAGCAAAAATAAACAAGTGGGACTGTATCAAACGGAAAAGCTTCTGCACAGCAAAGGAAACTATGACCAGGGTGTGAGGGTGCCCTGTGGGATGGGAGAGAATATTCGCAAACCGTCTACGCAATAGGGGGTTAACACCCAAAAGATACAAGGGACTCACACAACGCACTACCAGGAATAAGAAAATAACACCACAACCTGCCTAAAAACGGGCCAAAGGCCTGAATAGCTTTTTCCAAAGAAGATACACAGGTGGCTAACATGTTTCTGAAATAAGGCTCCACATCACCAATCATCAGGGAAATTCAAGCCAAAGGGACAGTGCGATGCCGCCTCACACCCGTTTGGATGCCTGTCATGGAAAAGTCGAAAGATGACTGGTGCTGGCGCCGACGTGGCCGAAAGGGCCTCGCGCGCTGCCACCGAGGGAACGGGGACTGGGGGCGGCCGCTGGGGGGAGGCGTACGAGGGTCCCTCAGAAGATTGAACACAGAGCTACCCCGGGGCCCGGCGAGTCCCCTGCTGGGTATTGACTGGAAGGAAACGAAGTCTCTCTCTCTCAGAGACCCTCGGCGCCCCCACTCGCTGCAGCGTTATGCACGGCAGCCCGGCCGGCCGCCGAGCCAACCAAGCACCTGCTGAGGGAGAAGGGGGGGTGCCCAGGCCCCGCGGGGCGCTCTGCAGCCTTCAAGGAAGAGGCTGCAGCAACTCGGCCGTTGGCAGCAACTCGGAGGGACCTGGAGGACACCATGCTCCGGGAGGTAAGTCGGGAACAGAAGGGGGAGCGCTGCGCGGCCGCACCGACACGGACGCGGGATCCACAGAAGTTGGAGTCCCGGGAGCAGGGAAGAGAAGGGGGGTTACCCGGGGCGGGGCGGGCGCGCGGAGGTTTCAGTGAGGAGAGGGCAAGCTCCCGCGCGGGGCGCCGCGACCGCGGCTCGCGACCCTGTGCTGTACGCGCGACAGTGGCTGCGGCGGGGAGCCTCAGCGTTCCTCCCGCTCGCACAAAGGTAACTGTGCGAGGTGACCGAGATGTTAATGCGCGTGGCTGTGGTCACTGCTCAACGCGCGTGCATATCAAAGCATCACTTTAGACACTTTAAATACACCCAGATTTCACTTGTCAGTCATATTCCAAAAGTGCTGGGGGGAGAAAAGAAAATGGACAAAAAGACAGGAGCGGAGGGTGCATAGAAAGAAAAATACAGAAATGGCTCTTAAATATATGAAAAGATACCCAAATTCACAAATAATACATGAAATGCAAGTCAGAACCATACGGAGACACGACTTCTCACCTATGAGAACGGCAAGACTTCCTGAATTCAGTACAGAGCACCGGACGGCGCGTAGTGGGGCTCCAGCCCCGCCCAGCGCCCGGACGAAGCCGCTTCGAGGAAGGACACTTTCCGTCGGCACCGAGACCACGCCGCCCAGCCCACGTGGACGAGGACCACAGAACAACCCACTCGCTAGCCCCCCTTCCCGCTGCTCACCTGCAACGATCACAACAGGGAAGCCTGCACTGCCCGGCCCAGCGCAGGCGGAGCGGGGGAGGGGGCCTTTATGTGAGAAAAGGGGGGTAAGAGGTGTGTGTTCACGAGCGTGTGTATTTGCTTAGAGGAAAAACAGAGAAGACAACCCGGAGGGCAATGAAACCCCGGGCGTGGGCAGCTGGGTGTGATTTAGAGACTTGTGAGAAGTGAGAGTTCTGAGTTTTCGTCATGTTGCTCTGACTTCCTGTTTTTAAAAAGCCACCTAAAAAGCACAGGGTAGCAGACCCTGACACTGAGTGCAGACAGACACAGAGGGGCACCGAGGAAGTGACCCGAGCGAACGTCCAGCCTGTGCTGAGTGCAGGCCCGTGGGGGCACCTGTCTGAGGGGGCAGAGCTGCGGGCGGGCCTGTCGGGGAGCGCGGGCTGGGCGCCCCTGCCGAGGCTGCGTGTCCTGGGAGGAGGGAGAGCCAGGACTGACACCTCTGGGCCCTTTAAAGTGGACCGTGATGTCCACAGGCCTCCTGTGGGAGAGGACACGCAGACACGTCAGCCTTCTAGAAGCTTCTGCCACAACCTCGGGGCCCCCTCCTCCACATGTGGACGTGTGAACCAGCCGGTGGGGACAAGGCAGCCAGTGCACCCGGGCCAGCTGACCCCGAACGTCCACTGAACCCCCGAAGCTCTTGTATGACAGGGACCTCGGCCACCCCCCGGGCCTCAGGAGGAAGTGGTCCGGGCCGGCTGCAAGCCTACGACCGCAAGGCTCCGGGCCCACTGCCCCCAACGCCCCGCAGCTCCTGGGGTCAGACAGCCCCCGGGCCCTCTGGAGCCGGTCACCTCCTCCTTCTTCCGGGCGGCCCTCTGCCGGTTCTTCTGCAGCAGCTGCTGCCGGGCCAGCGTGGCCTCCTCGTGGCTGAGCTTCCCCCGCAGCCTGCGGCACGCGTCCGCAGCCCGCCGCTCTTCCCGGTCCTTCGCCTGCATCTTCTTCTGCCACTCCAGGAACTCGGAGAAGTCCCCAGCCCCGTCCACAAGCTTGTCCACCCTGCGAACAAAGGAGGGGGTGGCTGAGGCCTTCCAGGAAGGGCCTGCGCTGGCCCGGGAGGCCTCAGGCGCCCCTGTGGACACTGAGCTCCTAAGCATGGACTGCCCTTGACCTGGCAGCCGCCACGTCACCCGCCCGCCCGGTGCCTGCCCGTGCCATCCTGTACACACACCCTTCACCCTCCGCTTCCCCCTCCCTTCCCCCCCGTTTGTTTACACAGCCGTGTGACCACCGCTGTTCCCCCGCCCACCCATCTGTCCATCCTCCGTCGCTCTGTCCATCCGTCTGTCTTTTGTCCGTCTGGTTAGCCACCCACGCTCCCGCCCAGGGCGTAAGCCCAACTGAGGGGTAAGTGCAGGGTCTGCGGCCCGGGTCATCTGCAGGGCGGCCCAGGACAGGCCCCGGGGGCGCCGGGCCCTGAGGGAGGTTTCGGGGGGCCAGCCTTTCGGGGCTGCTCCTACCCCATCGGACACCTGCACGGAGCCGAGATGGTATTTCTAGGGTGCAGCTGCGACCCCAACACTGCCTTCTGGGACCCCACAGCCTGCAGGACCACAGCCACCAGGCCCTCCCTGCCTGTGCTTGGCCCCCAGCCCCGTCCCCTTCCCCGACCTCTGCAGCTCCTTCTCCACCTGCCGCTGGTATAAGGCCCCTTCCCGCAGGATGGCGGCTGTGTTCAGCTTGACTGGGACCTCGTTGGGCTGCAGAGGAGGAGGAGGAGGGGCTGACTGTGGGGGCTGCCTTGGGAGCAGGGAGGCCCCCCATCCCTCAGAGCGCCGCCTGCTGCCCCTCACAGCTGCGCCTGCGTGGGTACTTCCCTTCGTGCTGAGGGTGGGGCCCTGGCCACCCAGCCCCTGGGAGCAGAACAGGCTGGGAGGTGCGTGCCCGGGGACACCCCATGCCCCCCGCCACCCGACCCGTAGGGAGCGGCCCTCACCTCGTAGAAGGTCAGCTTCGGGCTCTCGCGAATCCGGGGAGGGAAACACAGCCGCAGCTTCCTGGAGCCCTGCAGGGGTCGGCGCCCAGTGACCAGCCCGCTGGGGCCCCCCACGCACCCTGGCAGGCCCGCCCTGACCGCGGGCTCCCCAGGGCGGCGCCTCTGTCCTGTGACGCGCCCGCCAGCCTTGCGGGGCCTTGGGCTGCCCAGGGAGGCTGGAGGGGGGGCGGTTCAGGGCCTCCCAGGCTGGGTCCCCAGCCAGGAGGGCTTTGCCTCCGCCTCAGGGTCCGGCTCCCCAGCTGCCCCCAGAATTGGCCCCGTGACCTGTGACGGGCTGCTCCCCGCACCTGTCTGCTCCCCCGGGGTGGGCACCGCAGCCACCGTGTGGGGAGTGGCTGGGAGAGGCCCCTCCCCCGGGACTCGGCCACCACACGCCCTGGGCCACGCTGCTGTGCTGGGTGCCATGGCCCCCGGACCCCAACCGCGGGGGCCCCGGCGGGAGGCAGGGGCCGGGCCGGCACCCCCTCGGCATCCACGGCAACTAGCCGTCCTCGTCCTGCACCCATCACTTCTTTAAACCCCCCTTAGGCTTTTTTCTTACAGAAAGCGTAGATGCTGAGCATGAAAATATGGAAACGCCCCCCGAGACCCGCCAGAGGCTCCCCCGAGGTGGCTCTGGACCCGCGTCTAGGCCGCCCGCAGCCCGGGTCAGGCCCTGGGGGCCCGGCCTCCGCGCCTGAGACCGGAGGGCTGCCCGGTGGCTCCAGTGCCACCGCTTCCCTAGGTCCCAGCAGGGGCCCCCACGAGGACGGGCCGCATGGAAGGCAGGGCGTCACCTGTGCGGGGGGCTCCCTGCGGGCCCTGGGCACCGCGCACCGCATCTCCTCCAGGTTCGCCAGCAACAGCAGCTCCTGCGGGGCAACAGGAGGCTCAGCCCCACCCTGCCCTCCGCCCTGTCCTTGTCCGGGGTGGGGGCAGGGAACGCGGCGCAGACTGGCTCCCTCCTTCTCCCCGCCACCTTCCCTAGGACGGCCGGTCCCGGAAGCTGCTCACCTCCGCCTTCCGGCGGTTGTACCTCTTAGTCATCTCCAGCACCTGCGGCTCCTTGGGTGGCTGGTGGGTGCTCCGGGGGACCTGGTGGGCAGTGGAAGGAGGAGCCCGCGTCGCCTGCGGCCCCTGGGTGAGGGGCGGGCCGCGGCCCCTGAGCCAGGAGAGGCTGGGAGGGAAGCCTTCGCTATGGCTGGGACACGTGGGGGTTGGCGGTCACCCGGGGGAGGGAAGGGCGTCAGGCCAGTGGCAGGAAGGAAGGTGGCCAGACGCAGGGCCCAGGCCACTGGACACTGGTGGGACAGGCAGAGGACTGATGCCCGACTGGGCAGGGGGTGGACACGGAACGGCTGGAATGGCGGATGAGACCGCCATCCATCCATCTATCCGTCCGTCCATCCAACAGGTATTTAATGACGGTCTGATCTGGGCCAAGGCTATGCCAGGCATTGGGACAAATACGATGGACAAGGTCCAGAGAAAGAGACAGATAATAAACAGACCCACAGCCCCGGCTGGTGCGGCTCCGTGGACTGAGCACCGGCCTGTAAACCAAAGGGTCGCTCATTCAATTCCCAGTCGGGGCACAGGCCTGGGTTGTGGGCCAGGTCCCCAGCCGGGGGTGCACGAGAGGCAACCACACATGGATGTTTCTCTCCCTCTCTTTCTCCATTGCTTCCCCTCTCTAAAAATAAATAAATAAGACCTTTAAAAAAAAGCAGACCCACAAATTACCAAACAGCTATAAAACCTAATTGATGCTACAGAGAAAGGGAGGCGGGGTTCACAAGAAGGAAACTAAGGTAAGAGCCCGTCCAGGTGAGGGCCTCATGGAGAGTCTCTCTGGTAAGAGAGACTGTAAGAGTCCTGGAGGGTGGCCGGGGCGGCCCGAGGCCTGGGCCCTCCCAGCGCCGCCCGTTGCTTTCCCAACAGCCGGCAGCCCTGTTGGGGAACGAGGTTGGTGCTGGGAAGCTGCGTTGACCATGGGTGCTCGACGCAGAGCCCGTGACCAGCTGGAACACTGCGCCCTAGGTGTGGCCCGGGGGGGCCTGCGACCTAAGCTGGTCTAATCGTGCTTGTACCGAACTCCTGGCCTGGGATGTCCTCTCATGCCCTGGACATTGCAGGATGTGGGCACGAGGCTGGGGTGTCCTGCTGCAATGAAAGAACCTTGCCCAAAGAGAAAGTAGGCCCACAGGGGGGACCAGGGCAGAGAGGGTCAAGGGACATGGGGCTGGCGCCCTGATCAAACTGTGCCTGAAACCCCCACTACTTCAGCCAGGAGCGACTCAGCGAGACCGAGCTGTGTTTTCCTGTCAGTTGCCGCACAAGGCATCCGAGTGACAGAAGGAGCAGCAAGGCAGGGAGGGGGAGAGATGGGCTCTGGGCAGAGGCTGCTGGTGGGGACACACAGACAGACATTACCGCCTGTTGCTGGTCCGAAGGAAAGGACCCCGGCCCCACCGAGCCGGCAACGTCTGCCAGAGGCAAGGAGCGCTTCCCGACCCCGCGGGCATGCTGCGGCCTGCCTGAGCGCGGAGGCCGTGGTCCGCAGCAGCAGGGCGCCGTGCCCGGCAGGCTCGCCCCACGCTTCCCGCTCAGGCCTCGGCATGGGGGGGGGCGGGAGCCCCCGGCACAGGCCCTGGGCTCACCGGGCTTCCCTCTCTGTGGGGCAGGGTCGCCGCACGCTCCCACCCTGGTCGGGGCCAGCCCCCACCGCCCGCAGGGCCCGCTCGCTCGGCCCGCGCAGTCTGTGCCCACCGCAAACACCGGCACTCACTGGCGCCGGCTTGGCCACAACAGGGACAGGCTCGGGCAACGGAATGGCGCGGGGTCTGGGGACGGTCAGGTTGAACTTCTTGGGCTCTGTGACCCTGGCCCTTGAAGGCGGGGGCCGGCTTGCCGACTGCCCTTCCAGCTGGTCGATCAGTGCCTGGACCTCCGGCTGCCACCTGAAGGCAAAGGCGGAGACACTGCTGAGGGCTTCTTTCTGAGCAGGTGGGCACGGGGATGGCCCTTGGGATCTGAGAGGCCCGCAAGAGCCTGGGCCCACCCCAGGTGGGGGGGTGACCGTGGAACCGACAGCCACTGTTCACTGAGCGCTGCTGCTGTGCAGGGGCCGCGCCAGCCAAAGCCCAGCATCTCCCAGACCGGCGCCTCCCGGCACAGGGAGGGAAACTGAGGCCCAGTGGCACCGCTGTCCTAGGAGAGTGGGGGGCGGGCAGGACGGGGACAGGGCAGATCCCTGCCGCTGCCGCGGGATCCAAGGTCTCTGTGGACAAGCAGCAGCTGGGAGGTGGCGAACCTGGGCCCCAGCAGACGGCCCGGGGGAGGAGCCAGGTGGGGAGGAAGGGCGGTCCCAGGTGGCTGGCAGCTGTGGGGATGGGGCAGCGGTTGGCAGGCGGGAGGGGCAGGGCAGGGGAGAGCCAGGAGGGCCCCTGGAGCAGGGGCAAGGGAAGGGCCCGGCCGGCCCCGGGGCCTAGGGCCCCTTTCAGGCCTCCACGCCCCGCGCAGGCACAGCCCACCACTACCAGCTGGCCAGCGTCCCCTCCCGCGGGGCTCCCCTGGGGACAGAGCACAAGGATGGAAATAGCTCCTGCCCCTGAGCGGGGACCAGGGCCACCAGAGGGAGGAAGGGCAACCCCGAGGGACAACAGGGAGCGGGAAGGGACAGGTCTGTCATGGCACCGGTCCCAGGGCGGGCAGGCGCAGGCTGCATATGGGGCCGGTGGCGCGGGAGGCGGGCGCCCTAGAACCAGCTGAGCAGCTGCCCAGAGGTGGAGGCTCGCAGGCCCCGCAGGTCCAGGCCACAGGCGAGAGCCCCGAGGGCGGGCAGCGGCTCCGGCCTGGCTGGGCTCCATCCTACAAGGGCGCAGCAAGGATGCAGCGCCTGCCCCGGCCCCGCCTCCTGTCCCACGGGCGGCCGCCTTCCCTGGGCCTCGCGGCCTCCTGGTCGCGCCAACCGGCCGTCTGCCTGTCCCCAGGAGGACGGGGCGGGGGGTGGCTCCCCCAGTCCTGTCGGAGGCAAGCAGCAGGGGCAGCTGCCCCTCGCCCTGCACCCCCGCAGCCTCCCCAGGGAGGCTGGGGCGGGGCCGGTCACCGCGCAGGTCCTCCCGCGGCACCAGGGACTCCAGGGCCCACAGGGCGTCCGGGGAGGTGGCCTGACGCTTCGGGTGCCGTGGGGGCCGCCAGACGGGACGCAGGCCAGGCCCACCAGGAGCTGCCCGTCGCCTGGACGTGCAGGACGAGGCTGGGGCCACCGTCACAGCCCGGCTTCGGCAGCGGGCTCCGCGGGAGAGGGCCGCTCTCGCTCTGCCGGCCGTTAGCCGCCGCTGGCTGCGGAGGTCGGCCCGGGTCTCCGGTCACACGCTCTCGCATGGGGGCCGTGGCTTCCCCAAGTCCCCCGTGGGGCCCCGTGAGCAGGGAGGGGACCCGAGGAGGCCCCAGGAGTGGGCACAGCGCCGCCCACCTCAGCAGGGGCTCCGTCCAGCTCTGCACGTGGGCCAGGTCGTAGAGGAGGCTCCACTCATCCTTGATCCACGAGCACAGGTTCAAGGGGTTGAAGAAGAACCCGAGGAACTGCGGGGGAGGGGTGCTCAGCCCAGCCCCCAGGCCGGCGAGCCCTCAGTGCCCCTATGGAGCGTCCGGCCACCGGGCAGGGGTGGCCAACATGCCGCGAGAGGGGGCCGGCGCCCACGCCAGGAGGGAGGCTCCTCAGGACCCGCCTCCCTCCCGGGGGCAGGAGACCCCGCCCGCCGCCCCTCAGGCCTGGCTGGGGTGCCATTCCAGGGGGGCCGCCCCTCGCCAGGGGAGCTTCTGTGCACGGTGTCCAGGCACTGGGGGCAGCCAGCCAGGTGTGTCCTCACGCAGGGGACCCATGTGCCAGCCAGCTCCCCAGAACTGGAGGCTTCTACCCTGTTTCCAGAGAGTTCTTGGTGGGGAGAGACAGACAGCTGCCTGCCTCCCCCGCCCCAGCCCACGGCTCTGGGATTCCACGGCTGGACCAGCTCCATGTTCTGTGGCCTGGCGCCGGGCCAGGGCGGTGCCGTGGGGACTCGGGGAGGCGCGCTGTCCCTCAGCCCCTTGCCTGGGGGACGAGTCCCCGCACTCGGCCTGAGACCACTTTCCTGGGCAGACCGTGAGGCCTGGGGACAGCGCGGGGCAGCCAGGGCTTCTGAAGGCGGTTTCCCAGCTCCTGGCCCTCAGTAGACCTGGGGTCCGTTTCAGTCCCCAGGGGAGCCCTGTCCCCCACCCCCGGAGGCTGAAGGCGCGCACCCACAGGCGGCGCCGGCGGCGCCCTGCAAGGGGGCGCTCACACAGCGGAGTCGGGCGCGGCCTGGCCCTTGCCGGAGCACAGGGCAAACCCGGCAGAGTCTCCTGTTCGGTGAGCAGGAAGGCGAGAGGTCGGCGCCCGCTGGGACAGGCCGCTGCCCTTGCGTCTCACACGAACCCGGCGGGGCTCACCTTGCGCATCTTGTCTGCGGGCTGGGACTTGATGATGTTGCAGAAGAGCTGGAAGCCGAGCTCCTCCAGCTGGAAAGTGGCCAGGTAGCAGATCACTGAGGAGACAAGCGGGCGCAAGCGGGGTGGACGTGCCCACAGGGGATGCCAGGTCTGGCCGCAGGAGCCAGCCAGAGGCGCCCGCAGGGCACGTGGCCCCGGGCCAACGTCCAGTGGCCCCGGGGGAAAGCCGTAACCATGAGGCCACAGGACCGATGACGTTGTCTCGGAGGATGGGACATTCTGCGGCTCCAAAGCACTTTCTCTTCTATTACCTCACTTGGTTACGTTCTCAGAACTTCCAAAGGCTCCCCAGGTAAAAGTAAAATTGCTTTGGGTTTCAGTTTGCTGACTGTGAGAGGCCTCACCGGCCTCACGCCGCCTGGGACTCCAACTTGCTGGGCCAGGGGGGCCCCGGAGGCAGGGAATGCTTGTCACCGTCCACCAGGTGTGCGGGCCCCTGACGCGCTGCTGACCCCGGGACCCGAGCTCTGTGGCGAGCAGACACCAGGGCCGAGAGCCCGACACTGGGCCAGGTGCAGGCACCCGGCTTGGCCTCTGAGCACCTGCCGCCCCTCCCCCCCGGACAGCGGCACCCCAGAGGCCCAATGGCTGCCACCCCCCCCCCTCACGAGAGCAGGCGGCCTGCTGGAAACCCAGGCACAGAGCTGCCACTGAGTCCCCCCCAGACCTGCGCCCTGGAGCCGGGCCTGCGGTGCACCCCCTGGAGTCTGTCCCCTCGTCCCTAAGGCAGATCCCGGACCACGGACGGGCAGGCAGCCAGGGTGGCAGGGGACAGAGGGACGCGAGGGCCGCGACAGCCAGCGGGGGGCACAGCCTGCAGAACTGCCGGGAGCAGGCAGCATGCGGCGGCCGGACAGGCACTGTCCGCGGCCACGTCCGTCCAGTGGCTGTGGCAGTGGAGTCTGCAGCAGAGCCCAGTGGCGGGATGGGCACCTACCCTGGAAGAGGTGGTAGTCGGCCCTCAGGCAGAGGCGGCCGTCCCGCACGTAGAAGGCGTCCACCACGACGGTCAGCAGCTTCCGGTACTCGAGACAGCCGGACAGCACCTCCAGAATGAACGCCTGCTTCTGGGGGCTCAGGGTCTGGAAGAGAGACAGGCTGGGAGGGGCCGCAGCCTCCGCAGGTGGGAGCGCAGAGCCCCGGGGGGGTGGGCTGCAGAGCCAGGGCGAGGGGGCGGTGCCCCTCCCTGGCTGGGGACACGGCCAGCGGGGGCGGCCCGGGAATCGGTCCCGCAGGCTCTCCTGGGTGACAGCAGGTGGGGGCAAGGACAGAAGTAAACAGAAAAGGACCAGGCATTACAAAGAATGACAGAGCAGGACCGACACTCACGTGAGGCCCAGCGTCAACCTGCCGGACGAAAAGCAGATGGAGGTCCCAGGGTTGGGGCGGGGGCAGGGGGCGGGGGCCTCGGTGTCACAGGTGAGAGCGTCCGTGTGGGGAGATGAGCGTGGGGATGAACGTGCCTGATGCCACCGAGCCACACACAATGGTTAAAATGGTAAAATCCATGTGTGTGTTTTACCGCAATAAAAAAAGAGCAAGTGCCTATAAAAGTTGTCAAATGATTGATTTAAAAAATACTCCCCTCCCCTCTTTTTAAAGAAAAGCCCCTCCAGAGTGACAAGCAAGAGAAGTCGCTGTGAGGGCTGGTCAAATACACAAGCCAGAGGGAGGCACCGGGCGCAGGGGGGGGGCGGTCTCCCTGGGGGACCGGAGCCCGGAGACCGACTTTCCCCGCCTCCCGCAGGAGGGCGCGGGGGCTGCGACCTGTGTGCGCCTGTGTCACCTGTTCACAAAAGTCATCAAGCTTTTGGACTCGGGAAGGAAGCAGAGCCGCTGCTGCCAGCTCGGCAATGGGAACGGCTGGCAGGGCGGGTGTGGGCCCCACGTCCCCCCCAAAATTTAAAAATATGCTTCCAGAACCTTCTCTCTCCCATGCCCTGTAATCCAGTCGCTTCACTTCCAGGAGTCTAAGGAAACTGTCCAAAATGCAGAGACTCCCCACACGAGGAGCGCAGGCGGCGGTACTTGCCTGGGGGGGACTGGCAACCGCCTCCACGGCAACAGCAGAGCCTCACTGTGCACGCAGCGTCAGCGCGTCCCCGGACCCCGCCACCCAGAGGACGGAGCAGGGCGCAGACCGCAACCCCAACGGACGACCCGACGCGGACATGTCAGGAGGGACGTTCCAAACCTTTATTATTGCCAATCAGATAAATTTTGGTATCCCAATGTTTTGTTTTGAATTTTTTATCTCAGTGAAATTTTTATATTTGCTGAACACTTATTTGTACTTCCATGATTTACCAATTTATATCCTTGGCTAACATTTTTTATTGAGACAGTATTTTTTTAAATGAATTGTTTTGAGTTTTTATAGATTAAGACAATTTACAGGGCCACTTTGTCACGAGTTTGTAATTTACCGTTTGATTGGTGTATTTTCTGGCATACAGTGCACACAGTTGTTTTCCTTTTGGGGGAAGGCGAAGCCGTCTTTTCTTCCCTTGCTGCTGTGCTGGGAGAACAGTGGGGCGGGGAGCACCGAGGGGCCCCGCACAAGGCCCGGGCCTGGGCTGCCCGCACCGTGGGGCGGGGCTCTGCGCGGGGCCGCCCTGCGGTCGGTGGGCGCCCTGGCCGGTCCCTCCGCAGTCCTGGGTGCCGGGCACAGGGGAAAGCCAGGCTGCCCCGCTGCGGACCCTGCGACCGCCCCGCGGTTCGCAGCGCAAGGCCGGCTGCGGAGCCCGGGCTCCCTCAGGTGGCCGCCTGGCTTCGGGCTCGGGCCCCAGCCGACACAGCCATGATCCGTTCTGCTTCCACGACCATCCTCTTGGCCCCGCGGGCTCCTCCTTGGCTTCTCCGGTCCGAGGGTCTCAGGGCGCAGCCCCCCGCCCGCACTTCACGACCTCCCTGCCCAGTTGTGCCGATTCCAGACGGGCTCCAGAAAGCTCTGTCCGTTCCTGCTCCGCCTCCCGCTCAGGCAGACAGACGAATGGACAGACGTCTAAGGCTTTGCCGGGCTGCCCAGCTCAGACCACAGCTTCTCCGGCTCTTCAGGCTGCACCTGCGAAGTCCTCTCCGACGCCTCTGTCTCTCACCCGGGTCCCCTCCTGTGGCGAGGGGGGCCCAGTGGCCCCAGTCCCCTCCCCAGTCCATCTCCAATCGCCAAGTGTTTCTGTTAGAATGGAAGTCAGAGCATGTCCATCTTCCCTCAGAACTTTCCAGCAGGAGCCCTTAGGACAGCGGGCGAGGCCCCGTGTGGGCCGGCCCAGCTCCCTCTGAGTCCCCACATCACGCAGGCCCGCTCCGCGGCAGCGCTCTCCCCGAGGATGTGCCCTCAGGGCCTCCGTGCAGGCTGTTCCTTCTGCCCAAAGTCTCTTCCCTGCACGCTCGCTCCCCACTCCCGACGCACCTTTGCTCAGGGGCTGCCGGGCCCGGACGCGTCTGACTACCCCCAGTCAGACACTGCCCAGCCCCGCGCCCAGGACGCCCGCTGGTCTGCTGCCCCCTGCGCCACCCCCATGTCAGCTGGGTGCCACACAGACAGGGAGCGGACGCCCTGCCCCCACGGGAGACAGCGGTTGGCTCGGGTCTCCGCATCCAGGCTTCTGCCTCGCTGTCCCCCTCAGGTTCCCCAACCCCTGGGCTGAGCCCCCGCGGGGGCAGCAGCCCCAGTCCCGCCGGGGACTCCTCCGCTCCTGCTCGGAGGGAGGTGGGCCGGCGGGGCAGCGCAGGCGCGCAGCCCGCGGTGCTGCCAGCAGGGCCGGCCCTGGGGCTGCCGAGTCAGCTCCCGCGAGGCAGAGGCTGCATGACTCTGCAGGATGCTGCTGACACCAGCTCCCTCCGCGGCCTGCCCGTGGGGCTCGGGCAACGGCTGCTGCACCTCCCACCAGTTACGCCTCGGCCCCTGGGAAGGGCAAGGGTGCACTTCTAACAAGGTCACAACACCCTGGAGCCCGCGCCACAGGTCCCCGCGGCATCAGCCCCCAGGCAGGGAGGTGGGGCCGGGCTGCGCTTGGCGGAGGGGCCACGTGGGCCCACGGCCAGGCCCACGCCCCGGGGAAGATCAGCACAGCTGGCCACAGACGGGAGGCCGAGCCCGGGGCTGGCACAGGTCAGAGGGCGCCCAGCCGGCTGGGGCCAGGCTGGGAGGAGGCAGGGAGTGGCCAGGGGTGTGCTGGGGAGCCCCCCAATCCCCCCACCCCATACTGGAACCGGCCTCTAACCCTGGGCCAGCCTGTCACGCAGGCCAGAGGGCTGTGGCTGCCCAAGGGGCCTCTGGTTTACTGTACACTCTTGAGCCCCTCCCTTCGGCTCTGCCCACCCCGTCAGGGCCCTGGCTGGGCCTTCTCCACCCTGCCTCCCCCCTGCAGTGGCGGACTGACAGCTGCCTGCCAGCTGGGCCCGGGTGTTCTGAGCGGCAGCACCTCCTGGCTCTGGGGGCCCTGGCGGTGCACACGCAGGCCCCGCCTGCCCTCCCTGCCCACGCGGCCCCGGGGCCGTGACTCCCTCCTGGCCACGGGTCAGGACGCCAGTCCTTTGCCTGGGATCCCCCCTTCCCAGGAATGTCTCCCAAAGGCAGACCCTTCTCTGGGTCCTGCTCAGACCTCAGTGGACTTTCTGGAAGCCTTGGGCCGCCCACTGTGCCCCTCGCACCCCACCTCTGCCCCACAGGCCTGTGTCCATCCTCTGGAGGCCCCTAAGCCCGGCCTGTGGGCCCTGGTGCCCGCGCTGGCGTGCGGGCCGGCCTGGGGGACTCTGAGGTGTGGGCCAGGGGACCACGTGGCCCCCGGGGAGTGACAGCCATTGGGACCCACCCCCCTTATGGGACACTCTCATGTCCCCGCAGTTGTGCCCTGGTGAGGTGACACTTGTTCCTCCGCATCCCCGTTCCTCCCAGAGGCCTGGCCAGGAGGGCCCGGGTCTTGGGGTGGCCTGGGCCGCGTGCCTTGCGGGTGGCGCTCGCTGCGCTGCCACCCTGCCCCTCCCTGCAGCTCCCGGCCGGCCCTGCGCCTGCGCTCAGCGCTGGTCCCAGCCTTCAGTCCCCTCTCCGTTGTTCCGAGGCCACCGCACAGACTCCCAGGCCTCAGCGCCCACACCCCGTGCGCAGCGGGGAGGGTCCCCTGCTGACCCCCCAGGCTTCTCTGCGAGGGGCCATTGGACCGCTGCTGAGGGAGGTCCCTCCGAGGGCTGGGGGCTGCTCCATGCGTGTCTGTGCACATGTGTGTGTAAGGGGACAGTCCCCGAACATCCATCCAGAGAGGGAAAGGCTCCACGCGCTGCCCCAAATCCACAACTGCCCGGCCCCATGGGCTGCCCCGCTGTGTCAGGCCCTACCCGGCCCCTCCTGGGCCCCCCTCTGCGCCTGGCCCCCGGGCCCCGCGTTTTAGCAGCAGCTCTGAGTGTCCTGACCGGGCCCCTCCATCCCCCCGGCCCCCAGCACTTGTCTGGACGACTTTCCTGTAACAAATCACCCCAAACTTTTTGGCTGAAAAGGGCAACACGCATTCTCTCACAGTTCTGGGGGCCAGGAATCCAAAACGGAGGGGTCAGAGGTCAGTCCCTTCCTGGGGAGTCAGAGGGACAGCCTCCTGCATCTCCCTCGCAGTGGCCAGGTGGCCGGCGCCTGGGGCTGGTGGCCGCCCCGCCCACTCTCCGCCTCCGCGGCCTCACGGCCTCCTTCTTGTGCCTCTGCCCCATCACACAGTCTGCGTCCAGACCTCCCTCTTCTCCTACGGACCTCCGCCTCTGGATGTGGGGTTCACCCTAAGTCAAGAAGGATCTCATCTTGAGATTCCTAATCACATCTGCAAAGGTGGCGCTTCCAAATAAGGCCACACTCGCAGGTAACTGGGGGTGAGGACTTCAACACATCTTTTCGGGGGCACAAGCGAACCCCACACCCCGGCCCTTCCCCAGACCGCTCGATGGTCGGTGTCCCCTCCGACTCCCTGCCAGGCGCAGCCTCGGGCCTTGGCCCCGACGCAGCTGGAGATGATCGCGTGCTGTCCAGACGGCCGCTGTCCCGTGTGCCACTGCCTGGGATCCGAGGGGACCTCGGAGAGGCTCGGCCCGGACCGGCCTGTGGGAGCAGACGGGGGGCTGCGTCTCCGCCCGCGCGCGAGCGAGCGCTGCGCCATCCCGGAGCGCTGGGCCTCCACAGTCGGGGTGGCGGGTCCCTCCCACGGACACGCGGGCGGCCGTCGTCACATCCGGCTCACCGGGTGGCAGCCGGGGCGCATCACTGTGTGTAATCCATCCGTTGTGGGGGAAAAATCGGCCGATTTGCCGTAACAGCCCAACTTTCTCTCACAGTTATAAATAAAGTCACTAACTTTACTACCTCCACCTGAGCGGCGAGGCAGCTGAGGACAGAGAGCCAGCCGTGGGGCCGCGGGAGCTGCGGGGGCGGAGGCAAGAGGGCTGGTTTTAAAAACGGAGCAAAGGCAGCACGCAGCGGTGGATGGGGAAGCCAGCAGGGCAGCTGCAGGCAGACAGCGGGGCCGGCGGCAGGACGGGCGCCCGAGCCCTGCGAGGCGTGGGCCCTCCAGCCCCGGGAGGGAGGGCTGTGGGGGCCTGGCCCGCGCCGGCGCCCTCATTTCCCACGCTGCGCTGGCCCTGGGGAAGCGCTTGAGGAGGGCGTGGAGCCGCAGGGGGCGCTCAGCACTGGGGCGCCCCAAGTCCGAACTGGGCCAGGCCCTCTCCCTCAGGCGCTGCAGCTGCTCCAGCCCTGACGTGCGCTGCCCGGGGCCCTGGGCCTCTGTGGAGGACAGTGACCGCCCGTCCGGCCCCACCCCCTTCCCGAGGCCTTCTGGTGCCGGGCCTCACCCCACTCCAGTCCAGGGGGCGCGGCAGAGGCCACGCCTGAGCAGGCGGGGGCTGTGGCGGCCACCTCCCTGGGGGGCCACAAGCCCGCGCAGCCCTGTTGGAAAAACTGACAGCCGGGCTGCCGCGGGCGGTGACAGGCAAACCCCGCCGCTAACCCCGGCTGGCGGTGCAGACGGCGGGGGAGGGGCGCAGGCCTTCGGACAACCCCGCGCTTTCCCCGGGCTGCTGGGGCCTCCTCCGCACGCCCCACAAGACGGGCCCTGGGCCCCCAAGGCCTGAGGGCTGGGCTCCTGCGATGCGGGCACCTGCCCCCATGGGTAGTGGATGGACGAAAGGACAGGGATCAGAGCCCAGGTGACAGGGAGGCCTCCAGACTGCCACCAAGGTGGAGGGCGAAGCTGGAGTGAGGACAGGCCTGCGGGGACAGTGGCCTCTGTGTGGACGCAACATGGCCTGGGGGCCTGAGCCGGGGCCGGAGGGCCACCCCGAGGGCGGGTCCCTTGTGGCTTTGAGGCCTCTCTGCCCTGGCCAGCGATGGACAAACCCAGGGCAGCAGGGATGATGGCCGAGGGCGAGCTGGCTGCCCCTGGGGAACAGCCACCACCGGGAATGGAGCAGAGGGTGGGCAGCCCCGCTCGGGACAACGAGACGCGTGGACGCAGCCCGAGGCACTGGCCAGCGCGCTTCCCAGAAGCAGCGGGACCGCACTCTGGGGGCTGGGATCGCCTCCCAGGGCCCGGGGGCTGCCCCTGGGGCTTGCCCGGGCGAGCTGTCGGCCACTCTGGCGACCTGGAGTGACACCTGGGACGGCCGGCCTTCGGAGACCAGGACGTGGCCCCAGGCCTTTTGAGTCAGGACGGAGCCGATGCCACTTCCGGGACAGTGACCGGCTCCCCAGCGGGCCCGGCGGCCCGAAGCACCGCCCCGCCTACCTGCAGGGCTGTGCGCGCAGCCCCCAGGAACTGCTCCGGGCTTTCCTTCTCGGGGTGGAACCGGCCCAGCTGCTCAATCGCTGCGTCCACGCACTTCCCGTAGTAGGCCATCTTCCCGGGGAGGGCCCTAAAAGCAGACCGTGTGGGTTGCCCTCCATGACCCTGCGCTGCCAGCTCCACGGGCGGCAGAAACGGCTGCAGGGCCTCGCCGACCGGGACGGGAAGCCATGGGGGCCGGGGGCCTCGGGTGGGAGGAGAGCTGAATGGAAGTGGGGGCCCTGGCTGGGGCAACCCGGGCCACTTCCTGGGCTCTCCCTGCATCCTCTGCTGCCCCCGCCTGTCCCCCAACCTTACACGTGCGGGGTGCATGGGTGGGACGACCCCTGGGAGGCGCCAGGCCAGAGTGGAGGCACCACGTGAGTGGCCGCAGGGTGTCCCTCAGCCCAGGGTTCGGTCATGTTACTCAGCAGGACCTGCCCAGCGGTGCCGTGTGACCTAATCACAGCAGGGTGGGGCAAGAAGAATCTCTGGTCACTAGGTCGGGTGCCCCATTTTAAAGACGAGGGAGCAACCCCAGAGAGGGTGCGTGGCCGGGGGGCCCGGCTCCTGCAGGCCCCGCACTCTGTGCGGCACCCGCGCTCCAGGGACCCCGTGGGCCCCGTGCCCCCTCCAGAAGGCCCTGGAAGGGCTGCCCGGGCTGGGGCTGGACCCTAGGCACTGGCTCTCCCAGGCGGCCTCCAAGTTGCCCAAGGGGGTGGCCAGGCCCCTGCGGGCTCCCTTCCCAGCCCCCACCTGCCCCACCGGGTCCATGCGGACCGAGCGGCTCCTCTGGGCCCACACGCGGCCGGCCTTCCTGGGCAGCAGCCAGACGGCCCGGGCCCGGGGACAGCGGGGACGCCTGCCCTGTCCCGGAGAGCAGCCCCCAGACTTGGCCAATCCCCCCCTCCCTGCCCCATCACTTTTAGGAGACTGAGGGCCAAAGCCACCAGGCACTTCAGCGAGGTGGGGGGAGGGGCGGGGACACGGCCCACATGGAGAGCAGGACCCGAAACCTCTTCCGCACCAGGACAGCCCCTTGTCTGTGGTCGAGGGAGTGGGTGCCCGCTCAGCCCCGCCTCAGACTCGGGCAGGGGAGGTGGGGCGGCCCTGGAGGCTGCTGCTGGGCAACTGGGGACAAACAGCTTAACCTCTCAGAGCCCAGGCGCTGCAGCGGGGGCAGGGACCGTAGCAGGTCAGCGTGGCCCCTGCGGCCTCGGCTCTGACCCCCTCGCCCCCTCTGGGCGGGTCTCTGCCCTGCCCCTGCTCCTGCTGGTGGCCCCAAGCCAGCTCGGGCCCGTGCTCTTCCTGCTGCCCTGCAGCACGCCCGTCTCCGGGGCGCCTCGTCTCCCTCCAGGCCCCGCCCAAGGGGGAGCAGTCCCAGAGGCTCCGGGAGCCTCGGAGCCAAAGGCCGCACGGGGGCATGGGGTCTGAGCTTGGGAGCTGCGCCCCCACCCCGGGTTCGGGGCCTAGCCCTCAGGGCTGGGGAACGCGGGGATGCGGGTCGCCGGAGGGTGCTGGCCCTGGGAGAGCACCCAGGAAAGACACTGTTTCCACAGCTTGCAAGCTCTGCCCTGGCACAGCCTGTGGACACTGGCCATCCGTCCCCTGGCCCCCGCCTCAGAGCCTGGCCGGGCGGGGCAGAGCTGGCTGGCCCTGTTTCTCAGGGTGCCCTGCAGCCAGAGCGAGGCCCGCCCTCACAGCTGGCTCTGTCCTGGGAGGCTCAGGCTCACCAGCTGAGGCTCACCGAGGCCGGCCGCACCCCTGGCCACGCGGCCCGCCAGGCCCCCCAGACTCAGCCCCGCCTTGCCCCCCCAGCACCGCTCTGTCCTTCCTTCTGCCCTCCTTCCCTTCCAGGAAGGGCTTCCTGATACACTGCGGAGCCCAGGCGAGCCTCAGGTGGGCAGGTCTGGGGAAACAGTCTTCGCTCAGCGCAGCCTCCTGCCGCTCCAGCGTCACCAACACATCCCCCACCTTCTCAGCTGCCTGGGGACCCAGCAGGGCCTCCTCAGCGCCGGGATCACAGTTCCTGGGACCCTCCCCCACACCCAGCACCCCCGCACCTCCCACTGCGTGGGCTCTGCATGCCCACCTGCCTCGGAGGCCCCTTCCCGTGAGTCCCCTGAACCACGAATGCCCTCCTTTCCCCTCCCCCGCGAGCTCCTAGGCGCCCCTCAATACCCAACTCAAACACCAGTGCCTGCGAAGCCTTCCTTCCTCCCCCAGCTCTGCCCTCCGCCGTGCCTCCGCTGAAGTCCCTCAAACCTGGTGCAGGGCCCGGCTTTGTCGCTGAGCCCCTGGGCCTCCCGTGGGGGCTGCCCCCACAGGTGCCACCGCAACCCCACGGAGAGATCTCGGTTTTCATCTGAAACCGCCTTTAACCCCTTGAGAGGCCTCGCCAGGGACCGTGCCAGTGCTATTTGAAGACTTGGCTTTCTCAGGTCCTACCATTCAAGAGAGCTTGGTTTTGTCCCTTTTAATTGGAAAATCATATGCCACAAGAATATTTACAAAGCAAGTAGACGTGGAAGAGAACCGTGTGGAGTGGGGCCGGAGGGGGGAGGGGGCGTTGGGTCATGCTCCCCACCCCCACGGGGAATTTTCCTGCCTATGGGAGTCCCTGAGGCCCAGCACCCACTCTGCCTGATCCCCATGACCTCTCAGGATGAGCCACGGCTGCGTGAAGAGGCGCCATGTCAGCGTGATGAAGGAAATAACACCCACACGTGTGGGGCGCACAGGGGTGGGGGAGACTCTGCTCCTCGTGGGGGCAGGGACAGTGGGTGGCCTGCTCATCTGCAGCAGGAGCCGCTCCCAGCTGGACGGCTTCCCCGCCCTCCCCTCCTGTCCTGGAGCCTGAATGTTCTGGAGAAAGGGTGGTCCGAGGGCCTGCTGGTGATGAGGCAGGTCACAGGCGACAAGAAGAACCACCAAGCCCTCCCCAGTCCAGACGGGGCCTGGGAGGATGAACCGATTGGCCCGGGGAGCGTGGGGGGAGCCCGTGAGGGGCTGTGGGGGGAAGGGGAGCTCCTGGTGCAGCGCGGCTGCGCGTGAGGGCCGACGTCAGGAAGAGACACTTGGACTGTGTGTTCCCACGAAGCTTAGCCTACGAACTTCGCCAAAATACTCACACCTCCGGGTGGGAAATGGGCATCAACAGTCGCCCAACTCTGCCGCCCGCTTTCAGCACCTTGGCTTTGTTTTAACGGTGCGAAGCTCGCCCCCCCTCGCCCCCGTGGGAGCTGGGACTGAGTTCCCACGCCTACTGATTTTTTTGGTATTGATTTTTAACTTCACTAAGCAGGACTTGACTTCTCCTATTTAAGGGAACTCCAAAGGGGCTGGACCAACACTCCTCTTCTCTTGGCAAATCTCTTATAAACAGAAATAGGGAGACTTAAAAGTGACCAGGCGCAAGCTGGTTCGATGCTCTCAACCACCCAAGAGGCTTCATGCGCACAGATCCCCAATGCGTGCTAATTAAAATACACTCTTTTCCTGGCCTCTAATCCTAAGGATTTCTGCCAAGTCATGCCCTGATGGCCTGTGCTTAAAGCACAGGCTCACGTGGCAGGTTCTCCTGGTTGCTTTTCAACCGACATTCGCCCTTTCCTCGTGAGTAAACAAAGCCCTGGCTGTGGGTTGCCACCTTCCAGCCTCCCTGGCAGCTGGGTAGCCAAGGAGCGACATGGCATGAGACTTATGGAAAGCCTCCGTGTAAGGACGGGGGTCATACCCTTCTCTTCTTTTCCATCCTGCTGACTGGACTCAGGAGGTCATGGCAGGCACAGAGGCAGCTGCCCTGCTCTGCGAGGGGACATGTTAAAGATGGCAGATGAGCGAGCTAGGAGAGCCCCGGCCCCCCATGACCTCGGGGGGCTGCCATGCCTCCTGGGAGCACTCCTCGTGGATCTCCCTCGTGGAAGCATGAGTAATCTTGTTTGGGCCACCACGATGCTGGGACTTTTCCTTCCATGCAGCTGAACCGAATCCTAACTGACACACCCACTGCCCTGAGGTCAACTTTCATGCCAAGCAGCTTCCAACAGGGGAGCTTTGGAGGGAGTCTCTGAGCAGCATCAACAGCCCTGGCCTTGGCATCTGCCAAGGACAGACCCACAGGGAGCGGCCCGCCGAGGGGCCATCTCAGGTCCTCGCGCTGCTCAGCGCGGCGGGGGAGCAGCAGGTTTTATGGGGGACAGTGCAAGTTGGACACGTTGAGAGGGAGGGGACCTGTCAGACACCCAGATGGCAAAGAACAGGGAAAGGGCAGCTGACACCCCAGGGCACGTTCAGGCTGAAGATGCGCATTTTGGCACGGTGCGGGGGACCACAGGAGATCACCCGTGGAGGGGCGGCGAGAGGGGCTTCCAAGGACTAAGTCTGGAGGCCCGAGTGCTAGGAGGCTGGGAGCCGAGGAGGCTGTGCAGGAGCCACCTCCGGGAGAGGCCGGCAGCACGATCCACGCCAGCCAGGCCGGCTCAGTGTGCCCAGGAGGGGAGCACGCAGCTGGCTCACCTGCAGGCCAGTTCAAGGACGGCATGGGCTGAGGTTGGATCATGGTATTTGGCAACATCGGGGCCAAGGACGGCTCTGGTAAAGAGGCTCGGAGGAGGGGCCGGGTGACAGTCTGGCCGGAGAGGGGATTCAGGAGAGAAGGGGCTGAAAGGCAGGAGAGGTAAGAGGCAACTCCGGAGGGCTGTGCGCTGTCGCCGAGCTGTGGTTGGGTGGCAGCCGGAGGCCCGCGGGGAAGGTCAAGCTGGTCCTCAAAAGCCGGCATGGATGACCACCAGCACACGGGGACAGCTGGGAAGTGGGCCCCACCTGGACTCCCGCTGACTTTAATGGAACAGAGTGGCCAGGGAGGCCAGAAACCTCAGAGCACCCCGGACGGGGCCAGCAGCAGAGCACAGCCCTGTCACGGGAGGCTCCACATTCCTCCCCTGCGGCAGTGGATTCACAGCGGTGCTTTTGGGTGGGGGTGGGAGAGCGCCGGGCTGAGCGGGAGGGCGCACCTGCCCTGGCTCGGGACCCCCTTCCCCGGCCAGAGCGCGGCAGCCTCTCCGTGCCTCCGAGTCTTCGGCTGTCAATGGAGATGTAAAGTGAGACCGCCTACTTGTTGTCAGCTTTCTGCTCGGCACAGAACGGTTCTCAGATCTTGCTGACTGCTTTTATAGATCCAAACTAGGGCACCCTTGAGGGGAGTAGTGAATGCGGGGGAATATATACTTTAAAGTACTGTTTATTGCGGCGATTAAAAAAAGCGTCGTTAACTGAGTCAAAGAGCTGGGAAGATTGAAAAGGCGGTGAGCGAAAGATAGCAGAAAGGAGGGAGCCAGGGCGCCGGGGACCGGCCTGCAGGGGTGGGACGGCGCTGGGGTGCGGGACTGGCCTCGCCCCGCCACCCGGGCCCCACTTCTCCGCCTCCGTACCTGCCGGCGGCGCCGCGGGCGCTCCCGCACCTTCCCTCTCGCCTCCACCCGCCGCCACAAGCGCTGCCAGACGCAGCGGGCGCGAGGGGACTCGGGAACCTCGAGGGGTGCCCCACTTGGTTCCTGCTCCGCTTGGATTTCGCGAGCACCCGGAGGGTCGGCAGTGGGGGGCGGGGTGCAGCTTGGGCTTCGTCGCCTAGCAACCGGCGCCACGCTCCGGCGGCATTGCGAGAACACTACAACCCCCAGAATGCTCAGCGCGAGCGGCGCGGCGAAGGAAACCGCTTGCAGGGCCCTGCCCCTACAAAGCCCGACGGGACTTGTAGTTCTCCGGCCCCGCTAGGTGCTCGCGTCGCCCCCGAGCGAGGAGCGCGCCTGCGGCGGGGGGTTCGCAAGCATCGGCGCATGTGCAGTGTGGGGCGGCGGGGGCCGGCGGAGCCGCGGGGTGTCAGTGAGCTGCGAGGAGCCGGCGCCCCGTGCCGCGTCAGCCCGTCCGCCCGCCGCCGTCTGCGGGTACGCGCCGCGCGCCGCTCGCGGAGCATCTCCCGGCCGCGCACCTGTCCCTGCACCTGCCCGCCGCCCGCCCGGCGCCCCGGGACCGCCCGCCGCAGTCGGGCCCGGGCGCAGCGCCGCGGAGGGAGGGCCGCCGGGCGGGCCGGGCCGGCGCGGCGATGATGCACAGGTTCCGAAAGTGGCTGTACAAACCCAAGGTGAGCGGCCCCGTCCCGCCCGCCCGGACAGACCTCCGGCCCTCCGCCAGGCACGGACAGTCGCCCTCGCCTGCGGCGGGTCTCAGTTCCAGCCCAGAGAGTGGCTGTGCCCCAGAGGGGAGCCCCAGCGCCGTCCACGGAGGACCGCCCGCGCTTGCCCTCGGCCTGGGTGCAACCGCACTCACCCCGCCCGCGGCCGGGGCGGCCCCCCTGCCTGTCCGTATCCCAGTCGGCTCGCACCTCGCGGCCCGCACCGCAGCCCTTGGCAGACCCCTACTCCTGGGTCCCGGAAGGACACTTCCATCCTCCGCCTGCACCGGTGTGACTGCCTCATCCCCTCTGCCCGCCGTCCCCCACCCCTTTACCCTGGGCTTGGAATGTGTCTCAGCCTAACTGTGCACTCCGGAGCAGACCCCTCCCCACTCCCCCCAGGTTCTGGAGGGAACCCTGGCCCCTCTCTCCGGTCCCCGTGTCCAGAGTGGACCCCCATCCTCAGTCTGGGCCCTGCCTTAATGAACGGTCCGCACCTCAGCCAGTGGCGTCCTCATCTGCGCCCGGTGCCCCCCTCCCAACCCCGCGCGCTCCAGGCGCGGGACGGAGGCAGTTCCCCCATTTCCCGGCGCGGCGTCCCTCCTCGGCGCGGGGTCGGGGTCCAGGTCCCGGCGGCGCGCCCTGCGCCTCGTTGGCTGCGCCAGTCGCACTGCGGGCGCTGCGTCCCCGCCGCCCGCACGGGCTCGTGTCCGCTGCAGCCGGAGCGGCCGGGGCAGCGGTGTCACGGAGCCGGGCACAGAGTCCTGGGCACATGGTCCTGGGCGCACTCTTGAGGGTGTTGGGGGCCAGAGCTGTGGGGGGTGGGGCCGAGCACCCAGGTCTTAGTTGAGGGATTGGGGCTCGGGTGGGGTCACCGGTGACCTAAGGGCGCCTCAGATAATCTGACACCGAAGTCTCTTTGATGGACCCAGGGAATCCACTCCTCCCCCTAGGCTGACCACTTTTCTGGATCAGGCTTCTCAGCTTGGTGTCCCCCCACCCCCCGCCCCCGCCCAACTGCCCCCCATCCCTGGGGGTGGTTTCTCAGGGTGGGGGGTTCCTTGAATCCCTGCCCTTCTGATGCACCTGCGCCGGGAGGCAGCATGTCCATTTGGAAGTCGGGCGGGCACTGGAGGTTGTGGAGCGCGAGCTTAGGGACCCAAAGGCCTCGAGGCCTTCAGAGGGAAGAGCCCTCCCCGTGTGAGTGTTGCATGAGGGGCTCAGGGTGCCTGGGGCCGTGCCTTGGATTCGGGTCTTTCTGCCTGGAGCAGCAGCGACATCCCGTAGCAGCTACTTATTGGTGGTGGCTGAGCCATGAGCCCTGGGGCTCCCTCTGGCTGCCTGTGGTCAGGACCTCCGCCCTGGGCTGCCTTCTGCAGGCCCTCCAGGGCCCCCGGGGAGGCTCTTACTTAGTCCTGCCTGTTGTCGCTGTGCAGGCCGCCAGGGGAAGGTGGCAGGCAGCCTCTGCACGGGAGCAGCTTTTGTGTGTGTGATTGTTGTCACCGGTTAAAGAAAAACGAAGTTCACTTGTCAAAAGGCCATTTGGCGGTAGGCAGCAGCATTATTTTTTCAATGACACATGGCGAGGGCCAAGGAAGTGTGTCACAGGTCAAGTAACATTCTGGTCTCTCTGAAGACGCTTTGTCTGGGGTCCCGGGGCCCCGGGCCACCTCTGTCCAGGGGCTGCAGTGGAAGAGCCTGGTTTCGGGGGCCGCCGCACCGTGCGTGTTCCGTTGCTGGAGGGGCGGGAAGCAACGGTGTTTCGGCAGTAGCTGGGTGATGTCACCGGCCCTGCCTGTTTCAGTTCAGGGCAAGTCTTCAAAAGTGGAAGATGACACTGTCCTTGAGCTTGTGCCCCAGAATTGGGAATTGTGTGCCTGTGCTTCCGTCCCCAGCTGGCTGCCGCCCTTCCAAGGCAGGTTCCGGGCGCTGGCCTGGCCAGCTGGGGCGGGGCGAGTCAGCCAGCCCTGGTGGCTGTGCCCGCAGCCGCCGGCTCTGGGGGACACAGGGGGTCACCTCTGCTCTGACCTGCGCCTGCTCCTCACTGTCCTCTCTCGTCACGTTGTCAGAGACGTGTCGCTGACCCCTGGACTGAAGTCACACCTGTGCTGAGATCGCCAAGCCCTGCGTGGCTGGGCGGGGAGCGGTGCCCTGCAGCCGGTCTGAGGCTGGGCAGTCCCGTGGGCAGTTGGAGATCTGTCTTTGCAGATCAGTGTCCTGATTGTTGGAAGGGGTGGGGTATGTTAGGTCATCCAATAAGGTTTTCCTTTGTCACACCAGAGCCCGATTGCTGCCCGGCAGTAGGACTAGAGCTTTTCGCTCCCGCTTCCTATCCAGCGTAACACATTTTGGCACCAGGGAGCACCCAGTCAGCCCTGGAAGGCTCCGGACCTGGAGTAGTTAAATGTCAGCTGTGGGGGAGGACGTGCTGGGGAGGTGGTTGCCTGCCTTGGGATTTTTTTCACTTTTGTATTTAGATACATATACAATTCCAACGGCATTCTTGATTTAATCCCAGCTCTGGTTTAAAACTGAACACTGAACTTCTTGTTCATTCCAGTGCAGTGGAAAATATTCTGAAACCAAAAATACTCATTGTTCTTGTAGTTCTCAAAAAGCGTTTGCAAAAGCTTTAACCTGTTCTAATCTGACACTTAATAATTTTCATATCTGAATCATTAATAACTATCCAAGGTGAGTAAAAAATAAAGCCGGTGTATGATACAGTAGTTTAATGTTAAAACGCCACTTGCAGACTCTCACATTTCCACTGATGTTCTTAGACTCCGCTGTGACTTTGCTCCCCGCCAAGCACTCAGGACGTGTGTCCTGCTGGACCGGAGGCCGCCCAGGGAGGCCGTGTGGGGCGGCTGCGGCCCGGCCTTCCCGGGCTGTCGGTGAGATCCGCTCTCGGCTTTTGTTTCGGGAACGGATGTCTCTCCCAGAGGGAGTTAACTGTCAAAGGGGAAACTATCAACACTTGTGTTTCTGGCTGGATGGTCACTTTGTGGTTGATCCCTGGTGACGGGGCTAAAAGGTGAAACCGTGGTGTAGGGGAAGGGGATCCCGGCTGGGCCCCGTGAGGATGTCTCGGCCGCCACCAGGGAGAGTGCTAATGAGGGCGCGGGCGGCTTCGTATTTTCCGTCTCTGGGGAAGAATTGATGGCAGTGGGTGACGCTGTCCAGGTGGACGGCACCCCCATGGCTGTGAGTCGCCCCGCGTGGCCACCCGTCCTCACAGAGAACTGTCCAAGCCCAGTCTGGCACACGCTGCTCGGGGGCTTGGGTGTTAGCGTTAACGTCTAGCCAGGCCGCTAACTGGTTTGTTTTCAGCCGGCAGCTCTGAGTGCCCGGCTGCGCCTGAGGCCGTCCTCGGAACAGCAGGTTTCCCTCTGAGGTGAGCTGCTGGCGAGCCCGGCCTCCTTCCGGAAAGCCTGGCTGCACGGCTGCGCCCGGGCCAACTCCCGCTCCCAGCAGGTGCCCGGCCCGGAACGGGGCCAGGAAGTTCTGGGAAGGAGGCCGGGGCCGTGCTGAGTCAGGGCGGGCGCCGCGGGTCCGGCACGCTCCGTCCTGTCCCTGAACTTGAAGGACTGGGCCCCTCCTCCCTGCCGCCAGGTCCAGCCGCCCCTCCCCGAGGCTTCCTTCGGATGCACCGGCGTCGCCAGGCTGTGGGCCATCGGCCGGGCCAGCTGCCTCTGAAGCCCAGAGGGAGTGACTCAGCAGGGGCCCTGGGCTCCTCTCCGAGGCTCGCCTGTGTTCCCGTCTGCAGCGGAGGGGAGAGCAGAGCGGGGCGCAGCCTAGCCCTGTGCCGTCAGCGCCCGGGGCCGGGGAGAGGCTGAGCTGCAAGCAGGGCGCTGGCGAGACCGGGCCAGCCGCGCGTCACCGCAGGGTCTGCGCTTTCCGGAGCAGCAGCGTCCTTGCGGGAAGTGCACGATGCGGTTTCTGTTAAATGGGCAAGTCCTAGTCCTAATGGTGTCTTGCCTGGGCGTCCAGCGGGGCGTGGCGGCCTCCCCGCTCTCCCCTCCCTTGCCCCGCCCCCGCACTGCCCCCTCCCTGACCGGGAGCCTGTTAGTCATTTCAGATGCTCGGCGCCTCAGGCGCCCCCGAAGAGCAGACACACCAATGTGCGAGACGCACCTCTGAGCCATAAGTGACCTCACGGTCACCTGCGCTTTGGGTGGCCTGGCGGGGTCCTTGCCTCAGCTGGCAGCACGTGTCCCTCAGCTCTGCGAGGGGCCGGGCGCCCCTGCCATTCAAGCTCCGGGACGGGGAGCCCCTGGGGCGCGCCTGCCGCCTGCCTGGCTTTGGCCCTGAGGAGGGAGCGCCCCTGCAGGGCCCAGCTCAGCCTCAGTTTCCCCGTCTGTCGGGAGGGGTGACGGGCCCTGCCGTGTGGAGTTAGAGGAGACCATCTCGGTCAAAGGCTGTTGGTAATAGCTCAGCTGACCGGTGGTCGCTGTCTTTACCACTGGGCCACGCGGGTGGGTGAGAGGCCGTGGGCTTAACGCAGCACCGGACTCGGTGCTTTTTGGCGTCTCAGAGGCCATCGAAGCTTCCAGTGGCTTCTATCGGATTATTTTGACAGAGGAAGTGTCTCAACAGGCACATCCCCTCCTCCGTCTTGGTGGCATGTAAGGCACTCAGTTCTGGGGCACAGGCCCTCCCTGCCCCTGGACACCCGCCTCCCAGGTGACAGTCCAGCGGCTGAAGTCCAGCCCGCGCGGGCAGCTGTGGGGCCACCGTGTGAGGCCCGGCGCCCAAACCTCGCGAGCCGTCTTCCTGCGGCTGTGACCCCTGTCTCTGTCCCTTGGCTGGAGGCTCAGGTTCCAGGTGAGGCCCCCAGGGGGTGCAGGCACGTGAGGGGCTGGTGTGAGGAAGCGGGTAGACCTCCACTGGCTCAGCTGCTGAGGGCGTGGGGGGCTTGTTCATGATAAGGCACCCTGTTTTCCAAACAGGGGCTCGGAGGGCCGCGT